GGTTTTTGTGTGGTTGTAAGTTTTCAGTTTGTTCGGGTAAATGCCGAGAAGCACAATTGTAGGGTCGTATGGTAAGAGCATGTTTAATTTTATAAGAAACTCCTTAACCGTTTACAGAGTGCTGTACCATTTTGTATTCTTGCCAGCAGTGAATAGCGATTCCTGTTGCTATCCATCCTCACCTGCGTTTGGTGTTGTCAGTGATTTGGTTTTAGTGTTTCTAATAGGTTTTCTTTGCAATTCCCTTACAACATATGAAGTTAGACATATGTTTATATTCTTACTTGCTAGCTGTAGCTCTTTCTTGCTGGGATGTCTGTTAAGGTCTTCAATCTATTTTTTAATCAGGTTGTTTATTTTTTATTGTTGAGTTTTAAGAATTCTTTGTATGTTTTGGATAATAGCCTTTTAACAGATGTATCTTTGGCAGATATTTTCTCCTAGATTGTTGCTCTGTGGCTTGTCTTCTCATCCTCTTAACGTTATCACTCATAGAGCAGAAGTTCTTTAAGTTTAGTGAAATCCATCTTATCTGTTATTTCTCTCAGGGATCACGGCTTAGGAGATATATCTAAAAAGTCATTGTCATACTTGAGTTTATCCAGGTTTTCTGCTATGCTGTTTTCTAGGGGTTTTATAATATTGTGTTTTTGCATTTAAGTCTGTGATCCACTTTGAGTTAAATTTGTGAAGGCTATGAGGTCTGTGTCTATTTAATAGATTCATCTTTTTTTTTTCCCATGTGGCTGTCTAGTTGTTCCAGCACCATTTGTTGAAAATATGTCTTTTTTCCATTGCACTCTCTGCCCCATTGTCTAAGATGAACCGACTGTATTTAGTGGGTCTTTATCTGCTCTGACCGGTCGCACGGTTAGATTACTGTTGCTTTGTCACTGAGGATTGAAGTTGAGTGCTGAGTAGTGTTAGTCCTCCTACTTTGTCCTTCTGCCCTGATACTGAGTGGGCTATTCTGTATCTTTTGCCTCTCCATATAAACCTTAGAATCAGTTTGTCAGTATCCACAAAATCACTTGCTGAGATTTTGATTAGGATTGTTTTGAATTTATAGATCAAGTTAGGAAGAACTGAAATCTTGACACTGAGTCTTCCTGTCCATGAACATGGAATATTTCTCCATTTACTCAGTTTTTCTTTGATATCTTTCCTCAGAGTTTTGTAGTTTTTCTCATATACATGTTATATATATTTTGTTAGACTTATTCTTAAGTATTTCACTTTTTAAATTTTACTTTTTGGGGTGCAACTTAAATGGGAATGTTTTAGCTTCAAATTCCACTTATTCATTGCTGATAAGGAAAGCAATTAACTTTTATATTTATTTACCTTGTATCCTGTGATCTTGCTATTATTAGTATTAACTTTTTTTACCAGTTCCTTCAGATTTTCTATATATCATCTCATCACAGACAGTCATATCATCTGTGAATAGACTGTTTTGTGCCTTCCTTCCAATATGTATACCTTTACTTTCTCCAGAATGATATTGAAAAGCGATGGTGAAATGAGACATCCCTGCCTTGCAACCGTTCTTAGGTAGAAAGCTTTCACTATAATTGATATGCATCTTTAAGTGGGTTTCTTATAGACAGTATAAGAGATGGGTCTTGTCTTTTGACCCACTCTGACAATCTGTTTTTAATTGGTATATTTATAACACTGAGGTGGTAAGGTGTGAGGAGGAGGAAGTGTGTTCTATAGACAGTAGGTCTCAGTCTCTTGGCAAGCCTGTGCCCCCGGACTGTGAACCTCACCAGTGCTTTTCCCAGCCCCCTGCCCCACCTGTAAGTGGTACAGGATGACTGGAATGGGCTGAAGTTGAAATTGGGTATTTCCCTTCCCCCAAGTAGGTTAGACTCTGATAAAATAGTTTCTTCTGATTCTAGACCTTGTTGAGAAGAACAGAATGCTTTTTCATATTTTAAAATGGTTACTTTCTCCTTCCTCCTGCCAGAACAGAAGGGAATTTTTCTCCAGGATATGCTGTTAGAACTCAGTAGAACTCTTGGAGTTAAAACTCACAGAATTATGACGCCATCCCTCTGGGGCTTTTCACTCTCAGACTGGTCCACCCTGAGCCTCTATCAGTTTGTCTCCTTAAACTTAGTTTTCCTGTTCTGGTGCCACTTCCCGTAGACTTCTGCTGGTGCCTTTCTCTCTGAGAAGCTGTGATTCTCTGCCTGTCTCTCCAATTTTGGGGGCAGTGCTTTTGCCCAGTGACTTCACTTCTCTGACAGAGATGAGAAGTGTTGTTGATTTTTCCATTTACCTTTTCACTTGTTGTCAGTGTAGAATGGTGACTTTTAATCTCATCACATGCCAGACTAGAAACCTGGGAACCAGAACTTGGAAATATTTTCATTTCTTTTCGTCAATTTTAAATGTGGGAAAATAAGGAAATAGTGGTGGAGTGAAAAAGTAGTCATCCTTCTGACAAAGGCAACTGTTGTTGTTTTGATAAATGTCATTCCATCCTTTTTGTAGTTTTTTTAAAAGTGAGATTACTAGTGAGATTAACAAGTGAGATTGTATAGTTTTGCTATCATCATAATATCCTCAAACCCAAAGCAGAACTAGATGTCTCCTTCCCTAAACTATCTCTTTCGTGTTATCTGGATCATTTCGGATAACTCACTCACCAAACCAGGAACCTGGGAATTGTCTCTGACTTCCCTCACATCTCTTCAGATCCTAAGTCATGACAGTTACACTTTCTAAATATTTTTGGCTACCTCTCTCCCTTCTATTACCACTTCTGCTGGTCAAAGCCCTCAATGATTTTTCCTTGAACTTCTGCAATAATAGAGCCTGACTTTAGCATTATCCCCTTCAAATTCTGCACAAGTGTCGCTTGGATGATATATTCCAAAATGCGTATCTGACCATGTGCCTTTCCTGGTTAAAGGCCCTCAAGCTCGTCATTGACTCCCCACTGCCATTAGGCTAAATCCAAGCTCCTAAGCACGGTCTGTGTACCTCTCTGTGGGCAGAGCCTTTGCCTGCCTCTCCAGGTTCATGTCCTGACACTCCCTGTCCCCTTCTTTATGTCCCACTATCACTGATCTCCTTATACTCCCCGCTCCTAAACCTCCTTCCTGCCACTCTGTGATGTGTTCTTACCTGTGTGCTTCCCGCAGGCTTCCCTGCTTGGAATGCCTTTTCCCGCCTCACTCATTTCTTAAGGCAGGTGAGCTGTTAGCTCCTCCTCAGAAACCTTACTCTGACTCTTGAATATCCCTGTCCCCCAAGCTGGACTTTAGGTACAAATCTCTGTCATTACATTTCCTCCCATTCATGTATTCATTCCACCAACTAACCAACAGTGTTCATGTTGGGCAGGATTTTAAGCACTGGGATACAGCAGACAATGAAAAAAAAAAAAGCTCCTGTCCTAATGGAGTTTATATCCTAGTGAAGGGAGGTACATAATAAGTAAGTGGTAAAAACAAAAACATGTGTCAGTAGCTATGATGAAAAATAGAATAAGAGGGATGGAATGTTCTGAGGTTGGAGAGGAGGCTGCTGCTTAAAGAACATGGTCAGGGAAGGTCTCATTGATCATGTGGCCTTTGAGCAGAGCCCTGATGGGAGCAGGAGTGAGCCACGCACACGTGAAGAAACTTGTGCACAAGTGTGCTCCGTGTGTCCCATGATCAGCAAGGAATGCCTGGTGCTCTCAGCACGTGGTGAGGGGGAACGAGGCGGAAGGTGAGTTCGAGAGCTAATGACAGCCAGAGTCAAATTATGACATTTGGCTTTTGCTCTGAGACCAGGAACCATGCATTCTTTTGTACAAAGTGACGGTATCTGACTGTGTGCTAAAAGATGACTCTGACTCCTGGGTTGAAAATAGAGTTGGGTAGAGAGAGGTGGGGCTCAGAAGGGGCGGAGGCATGGAGACCAGATAGGACATCGTTGTAGTAACCCAGACAAAAGGTGATGGTGGCGTGGGCTGACCAAAGTAGACCCAGGGGAGGTGGTGATTAGTGATTGGAGTCGGGATGTATTTTGAAGGTAGAGCCAACAGGATTTATAAAGGCTTGGATAAGGGACATGAGAAAAAGCAAGAGTCCAGAATGATTTCCAGGTTTTGTATCTGAACAACAAGAAGGGACAGAATTGCTGTGAAGTGGGGGGGAAGATGGCAGGGGAGTGCAGATTTAAGTTTAAGAAGCTGATCGGGCCTCCAGTTGGAGATGTTTAGTAGGTAGTTGCAAGTGTGCTTCTGGAGTTCAGAGGAAAGGTCTGCGCTAGATATATAAATCTGAACGCTGTCAGGATTTAGATATTTCAAAGGTGTGGAATCAGATGAGAGAGAAGATATGTGAGATGACAGTCCTGGAGCAAAGAAAACTTTAGAGGCCAGAGTGGTGCAGAGGACCCTGCAAAGGAGCCAGAGAGTGCAGGCGCAAGCGGGAAATGCATCTTACAGGGTGGGGACGATGACCTGTGTCCACTGCTGCAGGCAGCTCAAGGTTGTGTTGTAAACCTGCTCATGTGTCTTTGTCTCCTTCAGTTGGCTGAGAACTCGAGAGCAGACACATTGAGCAGTGTTGTTACTTGCAGCTTTGAAATCAATGAGATATGTGCATGCCATTTAATGGCTATTTTTCCTTAGGCTGGTTCTCTCAGTCTCTTTGAGCTTCAGTCTCATCTGTAAAATGGGAAGGTTAGAGCATCTTGTAAGAATCAATGAGATCATCCAGATGGCATACCAAGCAGAGCCCCATCCAGGCGGTTAAACCCGTGCCAGTTATCATCATGATTAATTCAGTGCGCCCAGCCCTTCCTGTTCAGCAGCATTTGCTGAATGAACCAGTGAATTGCATGTTCATTTTAATATTTCATTCAAGGCGTTTCCCTGTGTGCTTGTGAAGCGTTAACGTGGCATTTCTGGGGGTTCCTCCAGGATTGCATGCTGACCCTCACCAAGTGTTTCTGCTGGAAGAGAGGAAGGGGAGTCCTTGGACAGAGCTGACGTGATGGAGCTCCCCAACTACAGCCGGCAGCTGCTGCAGCAGCTTTACACGCTGTGCAAGGAGCAGCAGTTCTGCGACTGCACCATCTCCATCGGGACCATCTACTTCAGGGCCCACAAGCTGGTCCTGGCTGCTGCCAGCCTCCTGTTCAAAACCCTGCTGGACAGCACAGACACCATCTCCATCGATGCATCCGTCGTGAGCCCCGAGGAGTTTGCCCTCTTGTTGGAAATGATGTACACCGGCAAGCTACCTGTGGGCAAGCACAACTTCTCCAAAATCATCTCCTTAGCCGACAGCCTACAGATGTTCGACGTGGCTGTCAGCTGTAAAAACCTTCTGACCAGCCTCGTAAGCTGCTCTGTCCAGGGTCAGGTGGTGAGGGATGTCTCCACACCATCCTCAGAGCCATCCAGCAAGGAGTCAGAGAAGCCCGAAATGGAAATCCTTTCCTCCGAGAGTGCTGGAGAGCATCACGCTTCCCCGGAGGTCTCCACTCCTCCAGGGGGCCCCGTGAAAGCGGAGGTGAAGCACGGGGTCCATACGGCAGGTCAAGAGATGAGAGTGGATCCTCCCGCTGCCCAGGAGGTTCAGGGGGACACAGACACCCCAGTGTCTCACTCAGCTGAAGTTTGTCCTTCCCACCCTGTTGTACAAACCTTTATTGAGGCAAAGGAAGCAAGCACAGAACAAGGTAATATTCACTTAATCGTCGTTTTGTAACCTATCCTTCTATTACTGGACTCAGTGACCTTTATGAGTTTTTTTGTTTCATTGATAAATTTATCAAAGACACTGTTAGATTGGAAACCAAGATCCTATGCAATAATCATATGAGGGCATTCTTCTTTTAAGCACACCTGTGGTTTTAAGTGTTGGAAGCCTGAAGGTGAACCACAGAGCAGGGAAGCAGTGTTGTATTGAAATAACCGTGTACCATTTTTTATTTTTACCCATTATCTTAACTAGGATGAAGATGATGCACAGGAGGAAGCTGTAAGAAATGGTGTTTTCTGCTGCCCATAATTGACATGTTAGATACCATTTATAAATGCAGTGCATGACCTAAAAGTTCTCAGCTTAAACTTGTAAAAATCATTTCAAGTAATCAGCCACTGATTTTTTAAATTTTGTTTTGTTTTACATTCAGAGTATGAGAGGAAACATTACCAGCTGAATTTTCTTCTAGAAAATGAAAAAATCTTTTCAGATGCACTCTTGATTACCCAGGATGTTTTAAAAAGACTAGAAGAGTGTTCAGAAATTAAAGATGTGCAGAAGCAGGTAGGTACCATGAGTTTTATTTGTTTGCTGGTTTCATGTTCTAAGGATAGCAGATCAGGTATCAGGGTCTCAAAACCTTAAGCTTTTTTTGGGATGGGGGGGGCAGACATTTACCTCCTAAAAGGACAATCTTGAAAAGTGCTAGGCAAGGTACTTTCAAAACAAAGACACATTTTGATCACTAGGTGAATCCCCAGTTTTGAACCAGGATACTTAACTGCGGTTACCATTTCCTCCTGATTAATCAGGGGTAAAATGAGGCAGAAGGTAGTCACAGATAACCCCAAATCATAGATCAAATAATAGAAACAGAAAACAAAATAATCATAATTACTCAAACATGGTACAAAAAGGATTTAATATAAACTTACATAGTAAATTGCATCCAGTGTTTAGGAATACAGTCGCTATTTTCAGACAATAGTGGGGAACTTTTATTGAATACTTTACTTGTGCTATACTTGGTACATATGTTAGTTATCTCATTTAATCCTCAAAAAAATCATTAAAGTGGATACTATTTTATTATTTTATATCCCTGTTTTATGGATGAGAAGAACTATCTCAAAGAGGTGATATAGCTTGGCCAAGGTTGCAGAGGTCATGAAACTAAACTCTGAGCAAGAAGTCAAACCTAAGCATTCTGATGTTAGAGCTCTTCTGTTACACTGTGTTATTGCCTCCCACCGGGGTAAAAATGATCGCATATGTCACGTATGTATAAATGTTTAGTGTTGTCTACAGAAAACTGCCAGCTGCTTGCCATCTCTGTCACTTACTTGACGTTTTCTGCTTTTTCGTCGTCTCAGTGAGATGCATCCCCACCAGTGGGCTCCCTCACACCTGACGGGGCAGGACCCCACGGCCGCTGTAGGACCCCCTCACATCCCCTTCCTCGCGGCCTCGCCTCTTGTCCTGAGGGGTGCTGGCAGAGTGAGCGGGCACCGCCCCGCAGGCCTGCCTGTCTGACTGGCAGGTCCTGTGGGGAGGCCTCCTCTGGTGCTGTGGGCAGTTTAGTAGCCGTCGGTTACTGTTGGTGACTGAGTTGGTAAGGAATCCGCCTGCAGTGCAGGAGACCCCGCTTTGATCCCTGGATCTGGAAGATCCCCTGGAGAAGGAAATGGCTACCCACCCCAGTCTTCTTGCCTGGAAAATCCCATGGACAGAGGAACCTGGTAGGCTGTGTAGTCCATGAGGTCGCAAGAGTCGAAAACGACTTAGTGACTAAATCACCAGTTACTATTCATCCAAGCAATGCATGCCTTCTACTCTTTAAATAGTTCCCTAATTCATAGCACATTACTTTTTATTTTATTGTTTAATTTTTAATTGGAGGGTAATTGCCTTGTGTTGATTTCTGCTGAACAACGCAAATCAGCCTTAAGTGTGTGTGTGTGCGTGCATGTGCGTGCTCACGTATGTGTGTGTATGTGCATGTATGTGTGTGTATGTGCGTGTATGTGTGAGCGCGCGCGCGCATGTGTGTGTGTCCCCTTCCTCTTGAGCCTCTCTCCCTCTGCCCCACCACAAGCTGCTGCTTTGAAAAAACAAATTCAAGGTCAAGTGTTTACCTCAACCATGGTTTACTGACAATTGGCTATAAATTGTTTTCTTGAGAGATAAACTGTTTACAAGACTGTGTGGACCCTGATGACTCTCTTAGGGGAGGTTTCGAGTTGTAAATCCTTGGCACTCTTTGTACTGATTATGCAGAAGGACATGATGGTTTTATATTTTTGCACTTGGATGTTCTCTTAACAGTGCAATCCATCATTTTTGTCACTAGTTTGTTACCTCGATAGCGTACAGACACACCTCTTCATTTTCTCTCTCTGACTTCCTCTGCACTTGGGTTACTGAGGAGCGTTATCATTCCTTAGACCAGCAGTCCTCAAATTATTAGTGTCACCTGTGTACTCACTTAAACGGAGTCTTGTGCATTTTTTTTTTTCCTGACACTGCTACCTAATAGTGTCTGGCACATAACAGGTGCTCAAAAAATATTTGCTGTACAAGGGTTCATTCAGCATTTTCCCCTCCTCCTCATCCTAATCCTTTGATGGCAACAATGTTAATAGTACTTTGCAACAACACTGATTCTCCCTGAGTGATCTTTATAGGATTATGTTATTTCTTCCTCCAGTTGTAGAGGTCAGAGTAAGAGCTCTACAAAACACTTGGTGGCTACATTTAAAAATGATTCTGTTTTATTCTATAATAAATTGTTCAGCTACAGAAAGAAAAAGGGAAAAATACTCTAAGAACATAAGATTAAATTAAATTAAACATAGGGTTGGAGGAGGAATTCATTGGTGGATTTTCACATCCAGCGCAGGGGTCCCAGGTTCAGTCCTTGGTTGGGGAGCTAGGATCCGGCAAACTGCGTGGCAGGGCCAAAAAAATGTCTGTATACGTGTGGTGCGAGCCAGCAAGAGAGAGTTGGGGGCCCTCGCCTTGTGCACGGGCCTGTACGCTGCTTTCTCGCTCTTGCTCTCGCACTCCCACTTTCTTTTAGACAGCTTGAGGTATGATTGACATACACCAAACTGCACATGTTTAAAGATGGCTGTTTGCTAAGTTTCAAAACCTGAAATCATCATCACAATCAAGATAGTGACCATGTCCATCCCCCCCTCCAAAATATTTTCACATCCCTTGGCAATCCGTCCATCCTGCCCCTTTCCACCTGCCCTTCCCCAGGTAACACTGGTCTGCTTTCTCTCTCAATGAATGTGCATCTTCTCGAGCATTATATAAATGGAGTCCTACGGGCTGTGTTCCTTTGGGTCTGGCTTCTTGCATTCAGCGTAACTATTTTGAGGTTCAGCCAGGCCATTGCATATTCATTCCTTTTTATTGCTGAGCAGGGTTCCATTGTATGTGTATACCATTTATTTATCCAGCTCTACCATTTAATAGCTCTGGAGCAGGAAATGGCACCCCACTCCCGTATCCTTGGCTGGAAATTTCCGTGGGCAGAGGAGCCTGGTGAACCATAGTCCATAGGGCCGCAGAGAGTCAGACAGGACTGAGTGACTGAGTGTGCACACACACCCCCCGTTTACTAGCCTTGTGACCTTCATCGGCTTAAGCTCTGTAAGTCTTAAGTTCCTAATTTGTAAAATTTGGGAGTGTTATCACCTACATCATAGGGTCATTGTGAAATTAATTAAGATTTATGTAAAACTCATACTAAAATGCCAGGCACATAGAAGGAACTCAACAGGGGATGACTGCTGTTGTTTACTGATACATTAACTCAGTGTTTTTGGACCCAGTCAGCCTTGAAACTCCTTTTTCACTTAATACCTTATAATATCCTAGTACTCTGGTCACTTCCTTTGACACGAGATGGTTTGCTGTTGATGTTTAAGCTTAATTTGCAAGTCATGCTTTCAAATGGGTGCCATTACCCTTGAAAATAGTTTCCTGAACTGCCGGTGTAGTGTCTCACACGAAGCCATCAGTCTCTAGAATAACAATTCAGTGTATATAAAATGATCTTGTTAAAATGTACGCCTCCAGACCACATTTCCAGAGTCTGAATCTTACATTCTGGTAGAGCTTGGGAATCTCCATCTTGAACAAGTTCCCTGTGGATGGCTTTTTTGGTACCTCTAGACTACGTTTTGAGAAGCATTGTTGGAGAAGTTAACAGCCTACAAAGCTCTTAATGTGTGATGGCAGATGTCGCAGCATCTATGCTGACAGCTCTCAGTGTTTTGAGGAGTTGCTGAATACCCATTTTCCCAAGTGTTATTCTTTGTTTTCCTCTTGATTCAGCAAATATTTACTGAGCAACTGGTATGTTCCAGGCATTGAGCTGGTTGCTAGGGAAAAAAAAAAAAAAAACCTAAATAAGGCTGGATCCCTATCCTTATAGAATGTCTTGACAGCAAAGAAATCCTGGCACGTAGATAATTCTTTGGGAAGTGTGCACAGAAGTCACACGACTGCCAGAATCCCCCAAAGACTTCAGTGTCAAATCTAGATTTAGAACTGTTCACTTGGACCATCATTCTGTATTTCAGCTACTGTTGTAAAGGTTGTTTGGAGAGTTTGTTTGCTGTTCTGTTTATATATTTCTGGCTCCCAGATAGCTTTGACTGTTTTTTTGGTGGTGGTGGTGGTTATTATTTGATTAATCATCATCACATTAAAAAAAAAAAATTAGCTTGGGCTTCCCTGGTGGCTCAGTGGTCAAGAATCTGCCTGCCAGTTCGGGGGACACAGGTTCGATCCCTGGTCTGGGAAGATCCCACATGCTGCAGAACATGTAACCCCGTGCACCACAGCTACCGAGTGTGTGCTCCAGAACCCAGGAGCTGCAACTCCTGAAGCCTGTGCATCCATGTTCCACCACAGCCAGAGAAGCCACTGTAATGAGAAGTCCACGCACCACAGCTGGAGAGTGGCCCCTGCTCGTCGTAACTAGAGAGATGCCCACTCAGCAACAGAGAGCCAACACAGCCGACAATAAATTAATAAAATTATATAAAAAAAGCGCAATGTTAAAAATAATTTACACTTAGATGTGTAATTTTGAGACCTATTAAGGCTTGTAAGTGATATTCTGATTGAGATGGACCAGTCAGTTCCTATTTTTTTTCCTAAAAATCAGATATGAGATCGGCAACTGGCCTGGATTGCGTTAAGGGGGGACACACGGACCAGTGTCCTGACTGTTTTCTTTCCTGAGATGAGTGATGAAAGGTGGCAAAGCCGTTGCCTGAGCAGTGATTGCAGCAACATGAGGAGAGGCTGGGCGGCTTGAGTTCTGTGAAACCAAAGCCAAAACTGATTAAGGAGAAATCTCTTGGGTGTTGGGATGGGAAAGTGTCTTCCGCTTGTCTTTATCTCAGTGTAGTATCCCTGACCCATTAGAAAAAGCAGGTACTGACCTAAAGGGCTTTCTGGCTGAGCTGAGTAAGAGAAAAGTGTGAAAGTGTTAGTCGCTCAGTTGTGTCTGACCCCAGGGACTTTGCGACCCCAGGGACTGTAGCCCACCAGGCTCCTCTGTCCATGGGATTTCCCAGGCAAGAATACTGGAGTGGGTAGCCATTTCCTTCTCCAGGGGGTCTTCCAGAACAAGGAATCAAACCTCCACCTCCTGCAATGCAGGCAGATTCTTTCCCGTCTGGAACCACCAGAAACTTACACTTTTTTTTCAGCCTTTAGCTAAAACTTTTAATTGTCTACTTTGTTTATTCTTAGCCGTGGCCCTGCTTTTTAATTCATTGTGTATATAGCAAAGTGAGTCTTTGACTAGAATAAGGAGATATCTCTTTCTACTATTGATTTTCTGCTGTTTGATCTACTTTTCACCTAAAGTTCTGGAAGGACTCCCCAAACCACAGGCCTGGTAGCATCCTTTTTTCCTCCCTTTGTTTCAAAGGCAAATAACATTGAAGGCTCTTATGTGAATCTGATGTTTTCAACTGTGTCATGACTTCAAGGGTTTGTTAAGTGCAGGTCTGCGTTTTGTGGACTGTGCTCACTGACAAAGTAGGGTAACTTTCTTGAGAAGTGAAGGGGTAGGATTCACTTTACAGATCTAGGAGAGAGAAACTTAGGTTGTTTTTTTGAATCTCTTCTAATTATCAAGTCTAAGATATGCAGCTACAGCTCAAAGGGCTGGTGATCTTATGGGAAGGGAATTTCATTTAGTTAAACAAACATTTATTAAGCACCTATTGTATACCGGTCTCCGCAGTAATCATTGAGACCGGGAGGAATGGTATAGATTGTCTGGAAGCTACCCAGTTGATTCTGATAAGTCCAATAAAATCCAGTGAAGTGGATTTGGTCACACTCAAAGTCTGGAAGATGAAACTGGGCGAAGGAGGCATGCCAGGTCCGTGGAGTGAGCTGGTGTTTCATGCTGGTGTTCTGCTCACCAGCCATGCAACCTTGGGCAAGTGACTTCACCTCTCTGCCGCTCCTTTGAATAGCCGCGGTGATGCCTGCAGGATGTGACGGGAGGAGTGAAGTAGATGGCACGTATGGCACCGCGTCTGGGGTGGTGCTGAGCTGTCGTGGTCTGTCTCGTTATTACCCTGGTCTGGCCCTCAGCATTCGGGGAAGGCATGAGCAAACAAGAGTGTGGTGTTACCAGACAAGTCCAAAGGCAGTAGGCAGACAGCTGGGAAAATAAGTGAATGCCATTCAAAGAGACGCGCGTAAGGGAAAGATTGAGTCATTTTTTTCACAGACAACAGGGAAAGAAAACTGTTCCATCTTTAAATATATTGACCCATATTTCACTCATAGATAAAAGTACTTTGAGTACTTGTGTGACCATGAATTGGTATGAATTTATTGAAGTACTTTTAACTCTAAGAATCAAAGGGGTTCTAAATGTCTGGTTGAAGAATAAATGTCTGTTTTGGTTCATTTTCCCAGAGTTCTGTTCCGTGATAGCAATCAGTGAGTTCCAGCCTGTTGCAATATGTGACAACCTTCTGTTTAGGCAGATTCCCTATTTCCAGAAAAGGGCTTACTCCGCTGTGGAGCCCCAGGCAGCCTAGGGGGCTGATGGAGTTAACAGGTAACTGCGCTGGCTCCGATGCAGGTCCAGAGTAGGTTCTGGAAGAAAGAGCAGGGAGCAGGGCCGTCCAGCCAGCTGACTGCTCGCTCCTGGCCCTTCTATCAGCCCAGCCCCGCTTCTCTTCCCAGATGGCCACCCTGGTGTCACTGCTGAGCAATGAAGTTAACAAATGTTTTAATTTCACTGCTGAGCAGTTCGGCAGAGGAGGAGACGGCGGTGAGGATAATGAGCAGCACATCAGATCCCACCCTTGATGGAAACTTCCCCTCCCCGACGGCTCACAAGATAATGCAGACAAATTGGATGCTGAGAGGGGCAGACTTGGGATATCCGGAGAGCTTCGGGCGAACGAAAAGTGGCCTAGGATTCAATGAGATAGCTGCAGGCTGTTACCAGCTAAGTGCACAAGATGGGCGGAGGAGGAAATGGAAAATAAAGAGGAAGAAGCAGGTTTAAAACTGAGGGTATGAGCAATCATGGGTCTTTAGGAGATACCTATTCCCATGCTCCTACATTGAACAGATCTCTCTTAAACTTTAGCAGCGTTAAAGAACAAGCATCTATGCCCTCACGGTTTCTGGGGGTCAGAAATCCAGGCACAGCTCAGCTGAGCCCTGGCTCAGGGTCCCTCACAGCACTGCACTCAGGGTGTCGGCCTGGGCAGCAGACACACCGCAGCTCAGCGGGGGGCGTCTCTTCCTAAGCTCACTCATTTGCCCGTTGGCCAGGGACTGAGTTCCTTGCCACGAGGGCCTCTCTGTTGGGCACCTCCCAGCATGGCAGCTTGCACCCCCAGAGCAAAGATGCCGAGAGAGTCCACACAGGGACAAGACGGCAGCCACAGCGACCCAGCCTCACACGTGCCGGCCCAACACCTGTCCCATATTCTTCTCCTTAGAAGTGAGTCACGAGGCTCAGCCCAAGGGCGTGAAAACCTGGAGGCAGGCGTACTAGGAGCCATTTCAAGAGTCTGCCTGCCGCACTGCGTCCCTACTGCTGTCAAAGAAGAGGCGTTCTAAAGAGACTGTAGGCCAACTGCTGAAAGCCAGAAAGTCTGAATAAATGAGAGCAAAGAGAATTAGGCATTCAACTGGTATCTTTGTCTTATTTATTATTTTTAAAATAGAGACAACGATTTATCTTTTGTTCATGAAAGTTACTTATTCCAGTAAAATCTTTATGTGGATTATGTATTTTATCTCTGTTTACTTTTGGAGATGACCAAAAAACATAGGAACTTTTTTTTTTTTAAGTTAGCTTTATGCAGTCCTTTCTGATCAGAAAACAAGCTCGAGCAAACTCAAGAAACACAGAGTCTGACTCATTTATAATCCTGTTTATTTGGGAGGCAAGGAGATCAAGTCTCTCTAAACAATAATTTTAAACATGTAATTACTGTCAGAATATGTAATAGCTGTCTGGGTGAACTTTGCCAGTGTACATATTTATGAGATCCTTTTGTGTTGTATATATTGCTGTGTGTGTGTGTGTGTGTCTAGAAAATCTTAAATTTTTGTTCTCTAAAGACTCTCCTTAGAAAACTATTTTCTTTTGTAGTATCAATACTAAAAAAACATCAGAGGTAGTTTTAGTTTTGCCAAGTAGGAATATAAAGATTATACATAATGCTATCCACATGAAATTAAGTTTTGATTACCAGATTTTTCATTACTGCTGAGATAAAAATATGAATTCTGCCTTCCAGTTGGCCTTCTTCCCATCTGCATGAGAGATGCTCAGTTGAATGCTAACATTGTTTATTTTACCCCTGGAGTCACTTTTGTGCTCTAGGTTTCAGAGTCGTGGAGGTGAGCTGGGTGTGAGGCATGTGGTGCTGAGACCCCTGGAGGATCAGGTACATCCAGCAGACACTGTGACTCTGGATTGAACAGAGTTCAGGATGAGCACGCTGGTTTTCAGGGCTGTCTGCATAAAGCGACATGTGTGAGAGCTTTTCAAAAGGACAGTGGATAAGGGAGAAAAAACAAAGTTGAGACCAGTCTTAGGAACTGCTTTTGGTTAAGGATTTGAAAGAAGAACTGTCGAGGAAGGCAGAGGAAGAGTGGCCAGAAAGGCACTGGACTTCGGACTTCCCTGGTGCCTCAGACGGTAAAGCAGCCGCCTGCAGTGCGGGAGACCCGGGTTCGATCCCTGGGTCAGGAAGATCCCCTGGAGAAGGAAATGGCAACCCACTCCAGTATTCTTGCCTGGAAAATCCCGTGGACAGAGGAACCGGGTAGGCTGTAGTCCATGGGGTTGCAAAGAGTCGGACACAACTGAGCGACTTCACTTCAGAAAGGCAAGTTCTTACCGAAACACTTCCATGTCAAGAAGTCAGAGAATTATGTTGCAGAAACGATAGTAACATCAAATGTCATAGAAAGGTCATGACGGCGGGGATCATACTGTTGAGGGCCTGCTTGCCCAGTCCAAGGAGCATAGGATTCCTGACTCATCTCTTTCTGGGCACTTGTTTTCTGCAGATCATAATGGGATGCCTTGAGGGTGAAGGACAATCAGCATTTCAGAGAATCCTGGATAAAGTAAGAAGTGAGAGCCTGGATGTTCAGACCGTTGTGTCCTTGTTGCGGCTGTACCAGGATTCCAGTCCTGCAGTCAAGACAGCACTGTCAGATGGAAAGCCGGAGGCTGTAGAAGCAGAGCAGCTGAAAGGTAAGAGAAACCCCACCCACCCGAGTGACTGCATTTTGCTCTGGGAAGATGGCTACAAAGCTTACTTGAGTGATCCCATTTTTTCAGTGGCTTAGTTATTGTTAAGTGGTTTGCACATAAATTTCTACCTGTAGTTCCATAGGCTGCGTGTTAACATACACAAACTGAATTTGAGTCTTCATTTCTGCCCCCCAGTTAACTAAATCTGACACCTTGAAGTTGCAGAATATCATTCGTGTTCTCCTGCCCTTCAAAAGCCACACGTCCAAATCAGTGTTTGGCGTGCCCAGGGTGACCTGGTTTGCTGACAGCACGTAAAGGCTGAGATTTCTCTCGTTTGGGTTAGGTACAAAGCGGTGGCCTTGCCAACCAGACGTTAACCTCTGGCTGGCTCTACTGCTTTGTGTTTCGACAGATAAATGAAACATTTTCCCTTTCATAGAAGAGTTTAAACGGAATAATAAAGTATTTTCCTCTCCAAAAAGAGATTCTGTGTTCGGGTGCTCAGACTAGGCTGAGAATCACTTTACTATTCTGTTAGATCTCTCTTGACAAACCACACTCTCATTTTCTTCAGACTGACTAGCTTCTCCTGTTCGTCTCCAGCTCTTTCTCCCCCAGGGAGCGTAGAGGAGGGAAAGACCTTGTCTGTCCTGTTGCTGGAGCACAAAGAGGGCCTGATCCGGTGTGTGACACAGCTGAGGCCCATTTTGGAGTTCCTGGAGACAGCGGAGGAGGAATTCCTGCCTGGCTCTGAGAAAACGGTAACTGTCCAGTGTCTCTTGCTCCCTCCTGAACTCATGTGACACTTATTTTTAAGCCTCTCTTGTAGCACAGAGCACCATTTCCCCTTGCAGTATTGCTTCACATACTGTGCGGAAGCACCTTAAACTCGGGTTCTTAACTTCATGCCTCCTGTATCCCCTGCGTCTTTAGATGCATGGACAGATGACTCTCCCCGCTCTGACTCCGTGAGATTTTGATATACATTTGCCCCCAAAAGAATTAGGTATGTGTGTGTTCAGGCACATTTCTAATTATTATGACACTTTTTACAGAAATGATAACACTCTTCATCTTTAGAGAAATTGGGAAAGCAAGCAGAAAGGAAAAAACCTAAACGTCCCACCATCTCAGCACTCAGAGATCGTCACTGCTAACATTTTGGAGCCTGTGTGCCTGCTTTTCTTGTTTAAATCACCCTGGGATGGGAGTACTGTCTAGTTTTGTGAGTTTATTTTTTAATTGAATATATTGTGAATGTGACTTCCCTGGTGGCTCAGATGGTAAAGCATCTGCCTACAATGCAGGAGACCCGGGTTCAATCCCTGGGTTGGGAAGATCCTCTGGAGAAGGAAATGGCAACCCACTCCAGTACTCTTGCCTGGAAAATCCCATGGATGGAGGAGCGCTGTAGGCTACAGTCCATGGGGTCGCTAAGAGTCGGACACAACTGAGCGACTGCACATTCTTACACTTTGTGAATGTGTTTCCATACCTACAGTGTGGATCCCGGGAGCTGTGTTCTGTTCTAATGGCTATACCATGATTCTTTAATGCTTTCCTGTTGGGCATTCGTTTCTTATTTTTTGCTATTCCAGTATTTTGCTATCATAAATGATGCTGCAGGGAACATTTTGCACACAGATCTTTGCATACATCTCAGGTTATTTTCTCAGAGGAATTTCTAAGAAGTGAGATTTTGGAAGAGAGAATGTCAAGTGTTTGATATATATTGCCAAAGTGCCCTTCAGGAAGGTTGTACCAATTTACTCTCCCACCAGCCAGCTGCTAAAATCCTCATAAAACTGCTAGCATGACTTCTCAAGTCAAGGAGATAACTGTATTTGTTGGTGTTATCGATTTCAACTTTGTGCTAAAAATATTTTGATATTGGGAAGGAAGAAATAGGGAGACAGAACTTTCGTGGCATCAGACTGTGGAAAGTGGCTTCACTGTTCAGGAGAGAAAATGTTTATGAACCATGGGTGTAATGGCTGAGTGTTGGACTGACAGTGAGGGTATGGATCCTAGATTTTCTTATTCTCGATGATATTGCACTGCCATTTTTTTCATATAAAATGGGAAAACTCTTCATCTCAAAATTGTATTTTGATAATTATATTTTTAAAAATTTAACTCCTTTGAACTTTTTGAGAAAGATGATATACACAGAGGATAAGATTAAACCCCTATTTTCTCCTTAGACTTCAGATTAAGTGTAATTTTAGGCACTCAGCTTAAGTAAGTTGCTTCTAGCTCTAGAAGCATCCCATTCCTTGTTAAGTGATTTCATTCAATTACTCATTCAAACTTTTTCCTTATTAGCTAGATTGGATGTGTCCTCTGAACTGTTTCATTATCTTGGTAAAATATAATATTTTACCAATATCTTGGTAAAATAAAATAGCACTTATAGGTAGAGCCCAAACTCGGCCTCGCCCTCGCCTGGCAGACCACACTGTCATTTTCTTCTGTCACTTTCAGTTTGCTTGACAGAAAGGGCTGAAGCAGAAGAACTTAAATTAGTTATAAATCACAAAAGCACTTCTTAGGATTGGGGTTCCACCAGAGCTTCATTAAGCTCCTCTTTCCCACGAAGATTGAAGCAACACCATAAAGCAGGAGTGCAGCTGTGAGTGTCGGTCACACAGGCACAGTGCTTTCACACCATCTGGAGCAGGCTGCCTCGGGCCTTTGGAACTTTCTCTCTTCAGGAATGATGCTAATCATAAGTACCATGGCCCTTCTGTAAACATACCTTGGGTTCTGTAAGAAGTGGTAAATAGGCATTTCTTTATTTCAGGATTGGAAACAGATACAGAAATAGTAATTACTATAGCTGCCACTTGTTTATTGTTCTCTGTGTACCAAGCAGTGTGCTGAGGACCTTTTAAGCCTTCTTAAATTCTACCCTTGCAGTAACTTTATGAAGTTGTGGATATTACCCTAATTTAAAGATTGAAGAAACAGAAGCTGTAGAAGGGTAAGCAGCGCACCCAAAGGCACAGTTGCTTGGGGCTGGCTCTGGAACCCAGACTTCTAAATAAAGCACATCTGGGACTTGCCTGGTGGTCCGGTGGTTTACATTTCACCTTCCAATGCAAGGGGTGCTGGTTCGATACCTGGTTGGGGAGCTAAGATCCTACGTGCCCTGTTGCCAAGAAACCAAAACATAAAACAGAAACAAGATGGTAGCAAATTCAGTAAAGACTTTAAAAATGGTCCACATTAAAAAAAAAAAATTTAATAAGTAAGTGAACAAAACACATCTCTTAACCCCTGGGCGTCTTGGTTCCTATTAATATTGGTAACCACTGTCATTTACTAGCAATCACTTGTCCTAGGAGTTAGGCTTGGCTCCACAAATGGGGACTTCATTTTAGAGAATCCTCATAACAACTGTGCAAAAGAGTTGGTATTGTTATTTTCTTTTCCAGATGAGGAAAATAAGTTTTAAAGACTTAAATAACTTGCCCGAGGTCACAGAGGGCATACATTTTAGAACTTGGTTTCAAACTAGGCCTGTCTGGCTTAATAGTTCCTTCTCACTATTAACAGTATCCGCCTGCCTCATTTTGGATCAGGTTATCATTTAGGATCTAAGAGGTAACATGGAAATCAGAATAGCTTTTAGATACAAGCCCTTATTTTAAATTATGACTCATTTTGTAGATAGAAATCTGATATGTTTGAGACCTTAAAGAGAATGACTATGTTCTGTACAGACAAGAAATATGACAACTTGATTTATTAATATATTCACGTGCCTTTCATAGATATAATACTCCTTTTACATATATAAAACCAATTTGGTTTTATACCTGACCTTATTATTTTTAAAATGGGAGTAATTTGATAGTGGCATCCTCTGACATGCAACAGTGACTGATCTGCCTAACCCCTTTTTCCTGAGAGCTGGCATTTTCCCAAAGGAAACCTCAGGATTCAGTTACTGTGAACCTATAGACTACATGTACTAAAATAATCCCCAAAGTTATGCACTAGCACCAAGTTATATAGAGTGAGTTGCAGTCCATGAAGAATTAGCTCTACTGTAATAGGAAAATAGCTATAAAGTCACTGTCAGGAATTTGACTTTTCAACCTTTTGCTGGAGCCCGGTGCCCTCTTGACTCAGAGAGCCCTCTAGCACACCAGGGAAGAACCAGTGGGTAGAACTGTGGGGTGATGGCTGCAACTGGTGTCTGTGGCCACTGGGGAGGAGAGGGGTAATGAGGAACCCACAAGAAAAATAATCCAAAAGTGCACTTTAAATCTGTTATTGTGGAGACCACAGACAAATGAAGTATCTGGGTATTCAAGTTGCTGTATCAGTAAAGGAAGGAAAATAATAGAATTGCTCTGAACTTGCAACCTCTGGCCACTTTATTGAATAAAACAGGAAAACACTGTAACCATATTTATTAATTGCTACTCAATTTCTCAATCCTTAGTGTCTGAACAGACTCAATCTAAAGCTTTGATGTAAACTGCTCACTCTGTCACATAGGCCTAGCATAAGAATATTTTCGCAAAATGCAGTGAGGTAAAGAATACGCACAGAACTGCAGTTGAAAGGCATAGAGCTGTTTATTTGGAGACTGTTTTGGATTTTATTTAAGCAGAATAAGGAAGAGACTGTGACAGCTAGCTCTAGAGATGAGCAGGAGAAGACTTGGAGACGGGGCAGCTTGTACTGCGATCTTGCTGGGCTTTCCAGTGGTGTGTCAGATACACTTAGAATTGCCAGTAACTGGTGTCGGGTTGATTGCTTGCCACTGCAGGTGATTCTGAATTGCTGTGAGGGCAGAACACCCAAGGAGACAATAGAAAATTTGTTGCACAGAATGTCTGAAGAGAAGACCCTGAGTGCCGAGAGTTTGGTAAAATTGCTGCAGGCTGTGAAGATGACGTTCCCAGACTTGGGCCTTCTGCTGGAGAATTTGCAGAAATTAGCCGCTTTGCCGAGCACCACAGGTATAAGTTAATTATTGATTCTCTGGACTGGGATCACTGCTACAGAAAACGATAGCTTAAAACTCCCCATTTGGCTCCTCACTGGGGAGATAAGACGGCGTTTGGAAAGGCCACTGTGAAAGAGAAACTCGCCGCCTCCCAGTCAGTGCTTCTCAGCGTTTCTGGAGTTAGGATTAGAAATCCGAGAATTTCTTCTCCATTAAACTCCCCTGTGATGTTCCCCTGGTTCAGGGTTTACGAAAGCACGGCTTTCCGGGGCTGAATGCCTGTGGAGCAGATGGGTTCACAGACGTGAGCAGCAGGAACTCACTTCCCGCCTGGAGTGCTGTCTGCTTCCAGCAGTGCCCAGAGTGGACCACCCCTCGTGTCCAGCCAGTTTGGGTTAATGGATCCACATCCCATCCCTTAGAAAAACAACCCAGCTCTAGCCAATCCCACTCCCACCCCACCCTACCCCCATCCCAGAGCATTGGAGACTGAGATGGGTTTCAGAAAAAGGCAGTTTGGGAAGTAAGAGAACTTTTTTACTAGCTGATAGAAATAGCATATCCTTATACAAACTTGAACCATTCAAAAAATAAAGAAGGAAAGAACCTCAAATCCCACTTGATTATGTCAGTATTAACACATTCTGTCACATTATTTTTACAGTGTTGAGATACTCTACTACATTTTATCATTTCCCCCACTTTACAGTGTAACATAAATATTCTCCACATTTCAGAACACTCCCTAGAGTTCTGGGTTGTTTTTTTTTTTAAGGCTGTATAGTTTCCATCATCAGGATACACAGGCTGTTTTACTTGTGCCTGTATCCAGGGGCACGTGTAACCTAACGGTGGAGTCTTATCAAGATTCCTAGGGTTTACATCCTGCCTTCTTTGGTAGCCGTATGACCCTGAGTAAGTGACTTAACCCTTCTGAACCTTATTCTCTCCTCCGTGAGATAGGGGTAAGAATGGCACCTACTCCTTCATTTTCATGGCTACTATGAGATAAATATGTAAACATTGGGCTCAGAGCTCAGCACATAATTTTGTCATTGTCTAGTGGTCAAGTCATGTCAGACTCTTTGCAACCCCATGGACTACAGCTTGCCAGGCTTCCCTATCCCTCACCATGTCCTGGAGTTTGCCCAAGTTCATGTCCATTAAATCAGTGATGCCATCCAACCATCTCATCCTCTGCCGCCCTCTTCTTCTGCGTTCAATGTTTTCCAGCATCAGGGTCTTTTCCAGTGAATTAGCTATTTGCTCTCAGGTAGCCAAAGTATTGGAGCTTCAGCTTCAGCATCAGTCCTTCCAAAGAGTATTCAGGGTTGATTTCCTTTAAGATTGACTGGTTGGATCTCCTTGCTTTCTAAGGGACTCTCTCCGGCACCACAGTTTGAAAGCATCAATTCATCAGCGTGCCACCTTCTTTATGGTCCAGCTCTCACATCCATACATGGCTACTGGAAAGACCATAGGCTTGACTATACACATAATAGGCACTCAATGAATGTTGGTTGTTATCTTCTTCATCATCATCATCATCTCAAGTTTCTTAGTGGCGAATATCTTTTTTTAAATTTATTTATTTTTAATTGGAGGGTAATTGCTTTACAATGTTGTGCTGGTTTTTGCCATACATCAACATGAATCAGCCATAGGTATACATAGTGGCAGAAATCTTTGTACACAGATGTTTTTCTTTCTTTTTTTTTTTTGCCTTCAGATCATTTCTTAAGGCTAGATTCCCAGAAGTGGAGTTACTGGGCCAGAGAGGAGAATAAATTTTTAAATATCTGTAGAGCTAAAGGGAATGCCTGATAGTTTTTATTTTTCTTTGCTTTCAAATAAATACGAGTTCTTGAAAGAGAGCCGCTAACAGATAGACTCTGAGGGCATCTGAACAGAAGAAGGATGGGTCAGCTTCGCTACCGCACTCGCAACTCATGTCTGCCTGTACTTGGGATCACCACATGGATGCTTTACCTCGGGCCTGATGTATAATATCCCTTGAATCTGTACATCTGAATCTCTTACAAGTGCAGCCTTCTAATTACCCTCCTATTGAGCAGTCACTAGCTTCTACCACTGGGCACTAACTTTCAAAGTGCTGGTGGGTGTTATGGCCCTGCAGCCCCGAGTGATTAAGTGTAGCCCAGAGGAGACGTGAGCACGTGTGTGTGAGGCCCCACGCCAGGAGCTGCAGTTGTGCACCAGAGGAGACCAGGCTCCCGTACCAATCTGCTCCTCCGCCTGCGTTTGTAGCTCCCCTCACGTCACCTGGAAGACGCCCTTAAGGAGGCTTTGTCGCATCAAACGTTGTTGTCTTGCTAATGTCCTTACAGCTCAAGCAAACCCTGATGACTATGGGATTGAACTATTGAGACGGTATCAGGAGAACCTCTCTGAGATTTTCACAGACAACCAGATGTTACTAAGAATGATCCCACATGTGAAGAGTGTAGTCCCTGGAGAAAAAGAGGTAAGAGAGAGGGAGGAAGGGTGGGCAAAATGAGAGAGAGAGAAAAGATTAACATATATATGTATAATATATATTCTATATAAGCGCACACAGCCGTGTTCAGATATGATAGGCTAGGAAGTCAGCAGAGAAGGAGAAATAGAAGGTGATTCCGTTTCGAAGGCAGAGTGACAAGTAGGGTGGTTGTAATGTCTGCAATGATGTAAAGAAGGGCTTTCCAAAGGAGGAGTGGGAAACCTCATGTATCAACATCTCTCAGGTTGAAAGGGGTGAAGGATGTTGAAAGACTCCCCAGAAATATGTTCACTATGACGCAATGCCCAGACTCGCAGTTCTGTAACTGGACCGCCGGCTAGAAAGTCCCTTAAGTGTATGTCTGTGCTGCATCCCGAAGGTCATGGAGAAGCTCGTGAGACGTGATGCTGGTTCCGGCGGCTTCAGTGCTCTGATGTCAGCAGTTCTAGAAAAGCACACACTGTCTGCAGCGGCCATCTGGCAACTGCTCCTGGTGGCTCAGGAGACGAAGACCTGCCCGTTGAATCTGCTCATGGAGGAAGTACGAAGGGAGCCCGGCGCTAACGCTTTCTTCCGGGCAGGTAGGGTGCCAGGGACTCTGTGCTCGCTTTGCCCCCTCCAGAGACTATTGTCCGTCTTGCCGGGAAATAGAGCTCTCTTTCAGTCTTCCGCATCCCAACCAGTAGAAGTAAGGACCGGCAGTTTTGTTCAAGGATGTGGGAGTTTGTAAACCTCTTAAAGTAAAATATGGGCAGTTATTCTACACTTCTATTAATAATATCAGTCTTCCAGCTTCAGTGCTGTTTGCCCTTCCCCCGCCCCGGCCCCGCCGAGGTGGGAGCTGGATGAAGTAGATTCTCTTGCCGAAGAATTGAGCTGAGAAAAGGTGAGGAGGAAAAATGCAGCTCAGTGCTCTACTCATGAGTTTTCAACCTCTCTTTGTTCAGTGATGACCCCAGAAAGTGCTGCCTTCGAGACCATCCTGAGGCATCACAGCTCGATCCTAGAGGCCATCCAGCAAACGGTTCAGCTCAAGTGCCTGGCCTCAGAGGAAGAGCAGCTGGCAGAGACTGTGAGAGAGGTGCGCTGGGGATGAAAACGCAGCGTCTGGGGGAGTTCTGCAGCGTCGGTGCCCAGAACTGTGTTCTCTCCTAAGGGAGGAGCCAGCTCCTGTTCAGTGCCTGCTGCGGGCGGGCCCGGGACCAGGAGACATTTGTCGCGCTTTCGCTCTTTTCATCCTCCCTACTCTGCGTGGCAGGTGCTGTCTCCCACATTTTACAGATAAGGGACCTGGGGCTCCGAGGGGTCAGTGACAGATCTAGGATGTGCCAGCCGGTCAGAGAAGCAGCCAGGATTGGAATGCGGGTTCAAGTGACTCAGAGGCAGATTGAGTCCGTTTGTCTGAACCTAGGAAAACTCAGAGGGAACCATGATAATCTCCTGTCACATGTTCTAAGAAGCAACTTTTTTCAGAGGAAGAAAAGTAAAATTGGTCTTATTACACGCTCTGTTCTGGCTTCTAGAAAGAGCCAAAATAAACATAGAAAGAACAAAGCTTTTGCCCATATGGGGTAGCAAATAGTGCCAACTCATTTTCTGTAAGGCTTCTCACAGTGTGGCCGGCGTCCCAGAAAAACCAGGTGGGGATGGTGGGGGGAGTTCACGGATGTTCATCCCAGGATCATGTGCATCTTGAGTGCAAAAGAATCATAAAGGAACATGAAATTTAGCTACAGATTCACCTATGGTGCTTTTTGATCCAGATGGGCATGGCTGTGGTGTGAAGAAGGGCCTTTTCTAACTGTCCGCACAGGTGACAGCCCCACCTTGGTCTGACTGTCAGATGGGCAGAAGACGGCACACGTTTCTGTGGGGCTTCAGAGGAGAGATGCATCTGCTAGACTCTCCCCAGCATGCCTCGCACTTCAGAGATGGGGCTTCTGCCGTTGATCAGTTTTAGCCTCACTAATTGGTCTCATGCCTGCCTCCAGGGACATCAGGTTTATTTAGATAGACTTGAAAAGAGCAGAAATGAAATATCCCCCAAAATGAAAATTCCATTTGGCCATCTGTGGATGGTTTAGTTTTATTTCTCAGCATACTGACTCTTTCTGCTGATAGCTCTAACATTCTGAGAGGGTGGCTTTGAAATAATATTCTTGGCCTCTTTAAAGCCCCTATTTGAACCTTCTTTAAAAAGCTGAGTTTCTTTATGAAAGAAAATGATGTTTAAAAGGGTACATCTAAGTATCTAAAAATGTGAAGCCTGCACTGATCATGCAGAATTGCTTCCCGACACTGAGACCATTATATACAATGAAAAATTATCTCAGTCTTCAAGACAGAAATGCCAATAGCCACGTCCTATAGCTCTCCCAAGCATATAATACTGAGATCTAGAAAAGTTCTTTAGGAGACTCCTGGTTTCTGAGAAGATACTTCTCATAGAAATACCTCATCGATTCCTTGCTTACACCTTTGTATATGCACAGTGGTCTTCACATGTGTCTCCTTGTTTAAATTTTGTGAATTTCCCTGCGCTTGGAGAAAAGGGGGCTCTCCGCTATATGTATAGGGAGAAATGTGTTACTTATTATAGATGGGGCAGTGCCTGAAATTAGCTTTGTTTCCTAAGTTGAAAACCATAGAGAAAATCTGCTGATGTTAACCACAAACCTTGGTCTCGTGGTATTCATTTAGATTCTGAGCAGCTCCTCTGAGACAGCCAGCCCCGAAGCTTCCCTGGGAGCACTGCTGAGCAGAGCTGCGGAAAAATCCATCTCAGCCACTGAAATATGTCAGCTCCTGTGCAGCGTCCACAGATCCTCCCCAGGCCTGCAGCCTGTGATGCAGGAGTTAGTGTGCACTGGTGAGAAACGGGGCGGGTGGGTCCTGTTAGGCCCCAGCTTGTCTCCTTGTTGGAGAGAAGAGGCTGCAGTTCATAGAAGAGTTCATTCTTCACGACCTTACTCATTGTGTATGCTCTCGAATGCTTAGAGGAGTCACAGACCATAGATATGTTTTGTGTTTGTCAGAGAGAAGAGATGACAGTGATATTTCATTAGAGTTTGATGAGGGTCCCAAGTAGTTTCCAGTCTCCCCCAAAGAAGGAAAGTTAGAAAGCAAAGTAGAAGCCAGGACAATTTCCAGAGCCATGTGATCTCTCTTCTGCACAGGTTTCCTTACTCAGGAAAAGGGAGAGAAGGAAAGGTGGACAGTGAGTGGTAAATTTCACTCTGAAGGCAAGGACAAAGCAGGTGAAAAGCCAGCCGGAGAAGACCACCAGCCTGGAAACCAGGACGGTCAAGGAGAGATGGCTGCCTTGCCCGAGCAGCAGGAGAAAGACCCGTCTGCCTCCCCAGACTCTGCCAAGAAGAGCTTCGTCTGTAAGGCCTGCGACAAGAGCTTCCACTTCTACTGCCGCCTCAAGGTGCACATGAAGCGCTGCCGGGTGGCCAAGAGCAAGCAGGTGCAGTGCAAGGAGTGTAACGAGGCCAAGGACTCCAAGAAGGAGCTGGAGAAGCATCAGCTGGAGGCCCACGGCGCGGCTGCAGGGTCCAGCGTCCCCAAGAAGAAGAAGAAGAGGCTCCCGGTGACCTGTGACCTCTGCGGACGAGAATTTGCTCATGCCTCAGGTACGCTCAGAAAGGCGTGCTCACGGAGGACGATGATTCAAACACAGTGAGTCCCCTCCGTGCGGACGACTGCTGTTCCGACAGCGTGTGCGTTAAGTCCAGCGGTTAGCCTAGGTTCCCTGCTCACAGGACCGGCTGTGCAGTCCTGTATCACAATGGGTTTGTAATACTTTTCACACAGATGCCACACGAAAAACAAACACAAGAAAGAAAACATTTTAGATCTCATAGTATAGCACCTTGAAACGTGCAGTAGTCCAGGTCAGCAGCTGGCACACAGGGGCACGCTCGCATCTTTGAAAGTCCGCAGCTCGAAGGCGCGTGTGTAAGGCACTTAACTGTGCTGTAGTTTGGACTCCAGGCCTTGCCTCCAGGATACAGGAAGGACTGTGTAAGGCCTTAGAAAATACAGCTCAGGCAGAGGACCGTTTTGAGAAGAGCGCGAGCTTGGGACTCAGCGCCCTGAGCTTTCATTTACACCCTCTGTCAAATAGGTACCCTGATTAACACCCACTTTTTTGGATTGTTATGAAGATTTAGGGCTTCCCTGGCGGCTCAGCTGGTAAAGAATCCGCCCACAACACGGGAAACCTGGGTTCGATCCCTGGGTTGGGAAGATCCCCTGGAGAAGGGAACAGCTACCCACTCCAGTATTCTGGCCTGGAGAATCCCATGAACAGTATAGTCCATGGGGTCGCAAAGAGTCGGACATGATTGAGCGACTTTTCGCTTTCATGAAGATTTAAGACAGTATAGCCAAAACATCTAGTACTGTGTCTTCAGTAGAGTTAGTGCTCAGTAAACTGTGGCTGTTATTATTCACGACGATAACCAGCTCTTTCTCACCTGGTACTCTGGTTTCCATGTATCACTGGTTTCTGGAGAGTAAACAAGAGTCCTAGAAACAAGCAGAAGTAGATTGTTTTCCCTTGCCTGAGGCCGAGTGAAACAGAAAAGTGAATTCGCCCCATGCTCTCTCTCGAGGCCTGGCCTGGCAGTGCTCAGGCATGCCCTCCTGCTGGGTTCATAGCTCTGACCACTCGTATTTCGGGTCCGTGGCGCGGCTTCCCTAGGCATGCAGTACCACAAACTGACAGAGCATTTTGACGAGAAGCCGTTCTCCTGTGAAGAGTGTGGGGCAAAGTTTGCGGCCAATTCTACTCTGAAGAACCACCTTCGCCTTCACACGGGGGACCGGCCCTTCATGTGCAAGCACTGCCTGATGACCTTCACCCAGGCCTCTGCCCTGGCCTACCACACCAAGAAGAAGCACTCAGAAGGTAAGGCGTGGAGAATGTCTTCATTCTTCCTGCAAACGTTAATGGTGTGAGCTGCCTGAAAACCCACTGGAAATTAGGCATGATAAAAAACCTCAAGTAGATCGAAAGCAGAAACAGACACAGAATCTCCAGGCCCACAGACAATGGGAATACCTTTGTGCACAGACATGTAAGATGCTTATGGTGAGAGTCTAAAGAGTGGCCAGCTGACATAGTGTGGTGACTTTACGGTTACAGAATTTACATAAAGCCAGGAATCCCATGGGCTTCGAGGTGGAGGTCAAGCATAAGAAAACCATGGTTGAACATGCACTGTGGATCGGGCAGTGGTGGGTGCTAAATGTCTTACCTGGAATCCCTGTGAGCATGGAGCTGATGGTCTCGAGTGTCTCTAGTGTGGCAACAGAGACCTCAGTAGTGTGAGGTGGAATAAAACCATTACAAGGACACACGGAACGTGGAATAAGGGTTTCTAGCCCAGTGGGAGGGGAGGAGGAGGTGTCAGGAGGGGTCAGGGAAGGCTTCCCGGAGGAGGCTCTGCATCTTTTGGAGCAGTTATGTGTGAGCACAAACACCACCATCATCTCACCTGGATCATTGTTGTTGCCTCCTAACTGGTCTCCCCCCTCACCCCCTTTCTCTGGGCAGTGTGGTCAACGCACAGGCTCAAGCGAGCCTCCGAAAGCTAAACCATAGCAGGTCACTTCTCTGCTCAAAGCCCTGCAAAGATTTTTCACCTCAGTTAGCGTGAACTCTGAAGGTAGCCTGCTAGTCTCCTCATGATCAAGTCCCCTGATGCCCCGCCAACCTTATCCCTCACTGCTCTCCCCTCGCTCGCCCTGTTCCACCTGTTGCAGCCTCCTTGCGAGGCCTCTGACCTGCGGGGCACCTCCTGCTGACCTGTGCTCTGGCTGTTCCTCTGCTTGGAAGGCTTTCCCTTCAGACACCTCCAGGCTTCACTTCCTTCCCACCTGCAAGTCCTCACGCATGCCTCGCCTTTCCCGTGAAGCCTCTCCTGCCCACCCTGTGTGAAATCTCAGCACTCCAGCCCCCTTCGTGGTTTTCTCCATATAGCTTACCATAGGATCGATCTGTCATCTACCATCTTTATTTTGTTTATAGTTGGTCTTCCCCCTGTTAGAACGCATGCTGCATTAGGATAGAGCGCTCAGTCTTTATCTTCCCCCTCCTTCTGCTGTATCTGTGGAACTTAGTATAGTACTCAGCAAGAGGAGGCCCTCAATAAGCATTTACAGAGTGAATGAATTTCTTGAGCATCATTCCAGGTGCTAGAGATGGTGCACCTGTACACACCCTCATGGAACTTAGATTCCAGTGGGTAAAACCAACCACATATCGATGTATAATATAAATTCAGGTAGTAGTCATTGCAGTGAGGGAAAATAAAGCCGAGTAAGCAGTAGGGGTGCAGGTCAGGCCCTTTTTATTTGTATCAACAGTGAGGGCAGATGAGATCTGAGTAGAAACCTAAATGGAACCAGTGGAAGATCTAGGAGAAGAACATCACCATGTGGACCACACACCTCCACACCCCACTTGGGAGCGAAAGAGCCTCACCTGCTTGAGGGGCCTGAGAGAACTATAAGGGGCTGAAGCACAGTCCACGAGAGTCCAGTGTTGAGAAATAAGGTCAGGGAGGTCACCGAAGTTTGGCTCTTATAGGATCTTAGGAGCCAAGGTAAGGACTTGGCTTTTTATGTGAGGAGTATTAGTTTCTATTGCTGCTGTAAAGAATTTCCAGAAACAGTGGCTTGAAACAGCATGAATGTATTATCTTTTATCATCTTGAAAGTTAAAAATCCAAAATGGGCCTTAAGAAGCTTAGCACCAAAGTTTCGGCAGAGCACGTTCCTCCTGAAGGCTCTCGGGGAGTTTGTTCCCTGCTTCTCGCAGCTGCCAGAGGGGGTTCCGTAGCTGCAGTCTCTGCCTTGTCATTGTGACCCCCCTTGCCTGTCCTCCCCGCCTCTTCAAAGGACCCTTGAGATTCCAGTTGGGCCTACTGGGGTACCTAGGGTGTCCTCATCTCAAGATCTCTAGTCACATCTCCCAAGTCCCCTTTGCCATGTAAGGTGACAAGTGCACAGCCTCGGGCATGAGGGTGTGGACCTCTTTGGGAGCATTGTCTGTCTACCACGGAAAGCCTTCGGTGAGTTTTGAGCAGAGGAGTGATAGGATCTGACTCACAGTTTTTCAGGTTGACTCTGACCACTCTGGACAATAAACCTTAACAAGGCAGGCGTATAGGATAAACAAAGAGATAGTTAATCCATTGTGGAGGTGATGGACTTTTTTATGAGAGCCATGTTGGGGGAGGTGTAAAAAACATTTAAGTTGGGGGCTGTATTGTTGAAAGTGGAAGCGACAGGATGGAGAATGGATTAGATGTGGGATGTGAGGGAACGAGAGGCATTAAGGATGGCTTAGGGGTTTGGACAGGAGCAGCCAAGCAAGTGATGCTGCCCTTCAAGGAAACGGGGAAACTGGAGAGAGAGGGAGTGTGTGTGTGTGTGAGTGGCTGTGGGGGGGAGGGCGGTGTGGGGGTGTGTGAGAGTGTGTGTGTGTGTGTGTGTATGGCTGGGTGGATTGGGGGGGTAGGGAATCCGGAGCTCTGTCTTGGTATATGATAATTTGAGATACCCCTTAGACCTCCAGGTGGAGAAGGAGACTGATAAGATAGGCAGTGACTGTAAGTCTGGAGCTGATGCTGTAAATGTGGGAGCTGTGAGTGTACAGATGGAATGCAAGGTTCTGAGATGAGATCATCCAGAAGGTGGAGAAGGCGGCCAAAGGCTGAGTCCTGGGCTTCTCAATAGTTTCAGCTTTTGGCTCTAGAAACCCTTTTCTTTCCTAACAAAATTTTATTCCAAAGGGTAAACATACAAAAAATGAAAATGAGTTTGATCACCCTAGTTAAGGTCAACCCTCTCTGGGGGGCCTGGACCCTAACCTTACAGGTTTTCCCCCTTTTTGTTGACCCATAAGGGTGATTGGAAGAACAGTTGTTCTAGCTTTTTTTTTTTTTTTAACAAGTACCAGGTTTCCAGACATGCTCTTTACCAGTGTTTTCTAATAATCTTTGGCAGTCTAGTCTGGTCATTGTATTTTCATTCCATGCATGAGAAAATAGAGAAGGCAAGAGAATCTTTAGAGCAAGTTGCTGGCAGAAAATTTTCATTCTTCTCAGAAGCTGTGTCTGTCATTTTTATGTGCATTTCTGCCCTGTGTGTTTTCAAAGGGATCCAGACTCAGGTGTTTCTGGGCTCAAGAATATATCTGTTTCCTGGGAATGGAATCAGCTCGTCCTCACTTGCAGTGGCCAGATTCACAGATGGGTAGTCTCAGGGCAGGGAGACCACACTGATGCCTTCTCTGTGTCACTGCTGTGTTGGTGAGGTGCCGTCTGACCGGATGGCCCAGAGCTCGCACCTAGCGCATTACACAGTACCTGATGTTTTCCTGTCGTCTCCCAGGTTATGTTTCCCTGCCATGTGCCTTAGAACGTGACTGTGTTTTTATGAATGCCCTACATGTCTAGTGCTGGCTCTGATAGACTCCCGTGTGTTTCCAGGGAAGATGTACGCCTGCCAATACTGTGACGCTGTGTTTGCCCAGTCCATCGAGCTGTCCCGTCACGTGAGGACGCACACCGGCGACAAGCCATATGTCTGCAGAGACTGCGGCAAGGGCTTCCGGCAGGCCAATGGGCTTTCCATCCACCTGCACACCTTTCACAGTACGTACTGAGGTTGCACTGGGCTCCAGGCTGGGCCCTGGGAAGGCACGCAGCGGTCCTCACGGCGGCCGGCTCACCACCCTCCCGGGCCCCGCTCAGCGCCTTCCCCTCCCCTGTCCTCCTGCAAAAAGCTGGAGTCCCTCTTTGCTATTTCCAGAAGAATCCCATTTTAACGTGTCTCTCTGTGATGCCTCATTTCTCTGTCCGGGCTATTTCCTTGTCTTCTGGTTTAGCCCACCTGGCTCTTCTTGGCTGACAGAGGCCAATTACGTTTGAAGGAAAGAGCCTCTGTGACAGACAGGCTCACAGAGCCCCAGAATATTTCCCATTTGTCTGCTGAGCTGCTTTCTTCTCCTCCCACCCCGCCTCTCCCACTCTCCTTCTGGTCATAACCTGCCTTTCCCCCGAGGAGCAGCACGGACACTCTGTGAATTAATGTGTAGCGTGTGGCCCCTTGCGTGCCCCTTAAAAGCCTGCTGCTCAGCATCCTCTTCTGGATGCCTTGTGTTCACTCAGTTAGTGGGGTCTGCCCTGTCTTTGTGGAGAAGGAAATGGCAACCCACTCCAGTGTTCTTGCCTGGAGAATCCCAGAGATGGGGGAGCCTGGTAGGCTGCCATCTATGGGGTTGCGCAGAGTCGGACACGACTGAAGCGACGCAGCAGCAGCAGCCCTGTCTTTGTCCCCTTTGACTAGAACTGCTACAGGTAGAGACACACGTCCATTCTACACACACGGCGGGGAGGGAGAGGAGATTTTGTGAACCCCCATCATCAAGAAAGGGCTTCTTCCCCTGTGCTCAGTGGGTAAAGAATCTGCCTGCAGTGCAGGAGACACAGGAGATGCGGGTTCAGTCCCCAGGTTGGGAAGATCCCCTGGAGACGGCAGGGCAACCCACTCCAGCATTCTTGCCTGGAGAATCCCATGGACAGAGGAGCCTGGCGAGCTACAGCCCATAGGGTCACAAAGAGTGGATGTAACTGAAGCGACCAGGCACACACTCACGCATCATCAGGAAACCATCAAGGAGACAGGCGCGGGTCACGCCATCTCCAGCCGTGCTGGTGGTAGCGGGCGCGTGACCAGCGTGGTCCAGCAGGGGGTTCACAGCCCAGGTCTGACATCGCACGGGCCTGGGTTTGAATCTTGACTGCTCTGCCATTTACTTCCTTGAGGCCTTAAACAGATTTCCTTCTCTTGCTAAGCCCCGCCCCTTCGGTAAGCGAGAGGAAATGGTATGGCTGCCACACTGGGCTGTTGAGAGAGGAGAAGAGACCTCACACATGGAGCGTGAAGCTCCACGCCTGACACATAGAATGCGCTCAGGAAGTGCAGACGGCGCTGGTGACAAGAGCAGCCGTCTCCGGTGCCATCTGTCACCGTCGGAGCCTGTCTCCTCCCTCACGCCCTGCACCTTGCATTCCCGTCTTCCCTTTTCCCCTCCCTGCCTCTGTTCCCCACACACCAGTTTCTAGCTGTTGGCAAATACGGTATCTCACAAACATGTGCTTTCTGTCAACACATTCAGGCCTGTTGTCAGCCAGCCACCAAGGCACTTGGCCAGAGCGTGCATGTACCCAGCATGTGGCTGGACACTGGGCAGTGCAGGAAAACATAAAGTGCCTCCCATCGTGACCCCCATTACCCCCCAGGAGTTTTACAAGGTTGTCCAGCAAATCTAGTTTTGGTAGACCTCCAGACGAGTGAGATCTGGCTTGGAGCCAGCGCCACAACTTGGAAGTCCTCTCAGCCTCTTTCAGTGGCATTCCGCTCCAGTCACATTGTCCCAGGAGCGTTACGTGGGGTCAGGAGAGGGGCAGACTTATCAGATTTCAGAGTAGAGCAGACCCTGAACACTCCGCCATGACTTGGCACGCGTCATCTGCAGCAGGTCCAGCATCCAGGCCCCTCTCTCGTCGGCTGTTCTTGCCTGTTTCATGGTCTCCTCACTGCTTCTGGAGAATCCCTTCAGGTGTCTTAGAAGACAGTGTGAATCTGAGATCTCATGAGCTCATGTCTGCGGGGAAACTAGTTAACGATCCCGAGTCCCACCGCATGTCGGAATTCCCAAGTTAATCTCAATCATCGCACACAGGAGATTGGCTTGTGGGCTGGGCCTTTCTTGTGGGCAAAGAATTTTATCAATAAAATGTTTTACTTTCCGTTACTTTCAGAAAAAGGACTGATGTCTCCTGCCACAGGGCTGGCAAATGTAGTCTTCATCAGTGCTAGTTCTCATCCTTGAGGTTCCTCCGAGGAGTTGCCTTGTCCGGTTAAGCATGCAGTGCAGAGCGTGGCCTGGTCACCCAGCTCCGCAGTATCCTACTCACGCCATCGGACATTCTCTAAAGCTCAATTTTCCTAATCTATAAAGTAGGGCTGGTCATAGAATCTGCACATAGGGTTATTGGAAGGATTGAGTGAATGAGGGCATGGAGGGCACTTAAAACTCGCCCGTCATATGGCACTTAATAGACATGGCTTAGGAAAATGTTTTTGTGGTTGAATCTAAAGTGGAGATCAAGGACGCATTCCTCCTCTGAGTTGTCCTACTGACCACAGAGAAAGTAGTGATGCTTCAGTAGTGATGTATGGGGAGTCTCTGTGGAGAATTAGAAAACTCCACAGTGCCCCTCACCACCAGGGGAAGGGAAGAGTCCTGCTTCCTGGAAAATAGAAAAATCAAGTTTGAATCATAAGACATGAAGTGAGGAATCGAGGTAAACTGCTTAACGCTCAGTTCAGTTCAGTCGCTCAGTCCTGTCCGACTCTTTGCAATCCCGTGGACTACAGCACACCAGGCCTCCCTGTCCATCACCAACTCCCGGAGCTTACTCAAACTCATGTCCACTGAGTCGGTGATGCCATCCAACCATTTCATCCTCTGTCATCCCCTTCTCCTCCCACCTTCAATCTTCCCCAGCATCAGGGTCTTTTCAGATGAGTCAGTTCTTCCCATCAGGTGGCCAGAGTATCAGAGTTTCAGCTTCAGCATCAGTCCTTAAATGCTCAGAGGTGTTTAATCCAGAAGCCTCAGAGGAGTCTCACCCCCCACCCCGGGACGAAGGTGGGAGGTGGTTGGGTGGTAGATAATAGTGACTCCCAGCCCTTGGATCCGTGGCCCCGTGTGACCTCCGAGCAGTCTGGCGTCTGGAACTGCACACAGCCAACCTCTGCTCACTGACTGTTGCCTGTGGTGTCTCCCCCGCCCACCAGACATCAAAGACCCATACGACTGCAAGAAGTGCAGGATGAGCTTCCCCACCCTGCAGGACCACCGCAAGCACATCCATGAGGTGCACTCCAAGGAGTACCACCCCTGCCCGACGTGCGGCAAGATCTTCAGTGCTCCGTCCATGCTGGAGCGGCACATGGTGACCCACGTCGGGGGGAAGCCCTTCAGCTGCGGGATCTGCAACAAGGCCTACCAGGTGAGCCCGGCCCCCGCGGGAGCCTCCCCAGCTCCGCACCCCGCTGTCTCCCTTGGCCCCCCCGGGGCTGGCGGCCTGTGGGACACCCCACGTCTCCAGGACGTGACGGGGCGGCTGGTTCTCACGAGGCACGCAGCTGGTAGCTTACTCAGCTCCTCTGCGGTGACTGGTCAGAGTGGGGTCGGCAGGAAGCTTTAATTGGAGCCAAGAGTCCTTGCCCCCCTTCTCTTAGAGTTCAGCCTTGTCCTGAACTGGATGCTGCTTTTTCCCTGGATACTCAACATTCTTTGGAACCTATTGATCCGTGAGTCAAGGGATGTGAGGATGACAGTGGCTGGAATTATCTTGTTTAGCAGAATTACTGGTGTTTTGTGGGTTTCTTTTTTTTTTCCTTAACTCCTAGGGAAGAGCTCTTTTTTTTTTTTTTTTTTAACCTTAGAGTTCGCTATGTAATTAAGTGAAACCCCATGTGGATCTGAAAAGAAACCACATCTGTGAAAAGCCCTCTGAGACCACAGAGCGGAGGACAGCCCTCGCCGGCATCTGTAACACTTGGGTACAGAGAGATGCCCAGCAGCTCATTTCAGCTCAACTGAAATGGACAGCTAGCTTTGTTCTGAGCCTTGTGCTGGGACGTTGGGTTTGCAGGGCTGGGTGAGACCTAGGTCGGGTCTCTGGGAATCCGTGGAGTTGTAGGGAGAGTGTCACAGCGCCGCTCCGGAACCCAGGAAGAAGGGACACTGGCTTTCGGAGCTGGCGCAGCAGCCCCTCTCCAGAAGGTTTCCTGCTGCGCCCTGGGCCTCTGAGAGACAGCTGGGTGGTGAAGGACAGATTCTCCAGGCAGGCCAGGGTGTGGCTCCTGGTGCTTCTGTTTGCTAGTCGTGTGACCTTGGGCACTGCAGAGAGCCTCACACCTCCCTCTCAGGCGTGCTGTGAGGCTGCGTTTCTGAAGGGCCCAGCCCTGCCCTGTAGTGGCCTCAGTACATACAGAGGCACCTCGTTGCCATGAATACCAGCCTCCCGTCGCCTGTCAGCGCTTACGGTGACGGGTACGAGTGAGACTCCAGGTCGACTAACTAACTGGGCTCCCCACTCCTTGGAGCTCCTTTCTCTCTAAGATTGGCTGCTGCCTTATTCAAATCAATTTTTGCTCAAATAAATTCTTTAAAAAAAAAAAAAGAGTGGGACTCAGATCATGAGCTTCCTTCCCTGGGAGTGCTTGTCTCTCCTGAGTCTTTGTGAACCCTCCAGCTTCCGGAAACATTTAAGACCTGACGCTTGCCACATTGCTTTCAGCAACTGTCCGGCTTGTGGTACCACAATCGGACCCACCACCCGGACGTGTTTGCTGCACAGAACCATCGATCTTCCAAGTTCTCGTCCCTCCAGTGCAGCTCCTGTGACAAGACCTTCTCCAGCACCCTTGAACACAAGAAGCACATCAAAACAGAGCATGCAGGTAACGCTGGGGTGCCCCGGACAGGGAGTGGGAGGGGCCCGGTGGCTCAGCGCCCTGGGCTGCAGCCCCAATCGCTCCTCCCCGTGCTGGAGCATGGGGTGCTTCGGTGATTCCCCGTCGCGCCCTGGAACGCCCGTGGGTGCCACGGCGTCCACCCGTCCGCTAGCAGAGGCAGAGGTCCTGGAACCTCAAGCAGTGTGACTCCTGCTGTCCCCGGGTGACGGTGGTCATGACACGGGAAAGGGCACACAGGCGGGGGTGGGACTCCTGATTCCAGTCTGTGACCTTGGGAAGTGACCCCTCTCTCTGAGCCAGTTCCCTTCTCTTCAGAAGGTCGATTATTCACACCTGTGTGGCAGGTAAATGGCATGATGACAGCAGCTCGTGCTCAGGGAGGCTTTCCTGAGCGCATGGCAATACGCTAAGCCTCAGGTGTTTCCTCCTTTGATTCTGCAGTCCTCCCCTTTACATCCAGCCGTTCTGGATCCACGTCTGGCGCTCTTTACCACACATTTCACTGGTGTGTAGGGCTGGCCAGAAGGCAACATCGTGCAGAAAACCCGAACGAACTTTTTGGCCAATCCCTAGCGTAGGAGTAGGTTCCTAGTGCTTGTAAGATGCCCACTACGTGTGCGCCCTCGCCCCAGCCCCGGTACTCCCCAGCCTCCGAGAGTCTCCCTTTCGTTCTTCCCACCACGCTTTTCTCCTGTGCTGCGCAGACATGAAGTTCCACGAGTGTGACCAATGCAAGGAGCTCTTCCCCACGCCAGCCCTGCTGCAGGTTCACATCAAGTGCCAGCACTCAGGTCAGTGCCCGCGAGGTGCCCCTGGGCAGGGTGGCCCAGGGTGCGTCCCCTCCCCACCCCGGTCACAGCTGTTCAGCCCAGGCTAAGTGCCTCATCTGCAAAGCAGGGCCGATGGTACTGCCTGCCTCGTCGGGTAACTGAGACCCGAACACGCTAGTGCACGGAACTCTCCAGGCCCCGCACAGATAGGCATCTTACGCATTACCTGTGATTATCGTTGTTCCTACTATGTTACCTCAAACCTAAATGCCAGTTATTTAAGAGGCACTGTTTTTAACGAACCATTAGAAAAACTGGATATCCTAAGTTCTGCTCTGGGCTCAGTTTGACATAGATTTTTATGCAGTTTCGTCTGCCATTAAGTAAGTTGATTAACATAAGAACTCGGCTTCCCAGAGTAGCCCTCAGGTGAAATTATTGGCATGCGTGTTATTCCACACGGGGTTGTCCTCTGCCATCAAGAGCGCCGGTGAGGGAGCGCCTCGTAAGGCCTGTGGTTTTGGTCTCCACAGGCTTTAACGTAGAGCTAGTCTCTTCTGATTCCTGCTTTGGGAATGCAGCTCACCATTCAAACCTGACCTCCCCCCTCCTCAACCATTTGGTTCCTGTGAGTTAGAAACACGCATGGCTCCCGTCTCAGGGCTTTTCTTTCAGGCAGTGGACAGGCATCCTGCAGGTCTGCATGCTGCCTCTTTAGGCGTGCGTGCATAGGCGCTTGTGGGCAGTTACACCCGACCTGCACGGCTTGCAGCAGCGGTACATGTCATTGATCCCATTTCAGACATGTTAAAAGTGACAAAATAGTCAGCATCATTACCATTGAATGAATGAATAATGGGCTTTGGCAGAGGCAGATGTAGCCTGAATCGGATGCTAATGAAGCTGGACTTGGGACGTCTCACTGGCGGGACTTTTCCAAAGCTCCCAATCCTGTGTGTGTAAATTTGTATTCATTTCCCTAAAGAGGGCTCCCCAAGTTGTTCGAGCTCCAGGCCCCACACAAGCTGAAGAGCTGCCTCTGGACGCCTGGCCCAGCCAGGCCCCGCCCCTTCCCGGCCCCGCCCCACCCCGCCCTGGCTCCCTCAGCCACATGTTCGTCCCCTTCCCGCAGGGTCGCAGCCCTTCCGCTGCCTGTACTGTGCGGCCACCTTCCGCTTCCCGGGGGCCCTTCAGCACCACGTCACCACCGAGCACTTCAAGCAGTCGGAGAGTACTTTCCCCTGTGAGCTCTGCGGGGAGCTCTTCACCTCCCAGGCCCAGCTGGACTGTCACCTGGAGTCTGAACACCCGAAGGTGCTGGGCGCTGAAACCCAGTCGCAGATGGTGCAGGTGATTGTGGGGCCTCGGATGCGGGGGTGCTGACCCAGGGGTCTTGAGGCTTCTCTGGAGGCAGCCCCTTCAGACAACTAGCCTTTCTTCCTGGGACTCTCAGGGGGCTCCGTGAGTGATGACTTCAAGGCCAGGAGGATCTTGCCGAAGTCTCCCTGGACCTTTTATCGGACAGAACACAAAATTCTAGCCACCTGGTAGCTGCCTGTGAAATGGCTCCTGGGTATAGAGAGGCTAGAAAAAGAATTTTAAAAGCAGAATGACCTGGGCCTCTGCTCCCAATTCACACCCTCCCTCACCCTCTGCGGACCACCATGGGGTGTGGTCAGAGTTACAGAAAACCTTGGAGGAGGTGGATGAGCTCTTTGTTGGGACCACCTTGGGTGGAAACACTTTGATAAGCCCCTGTGGGCTGGGCTCAAAGCATGTTTGAATGTCTGGGCTTTTCTGGGGGAAAACCCGCCTCTTCTCAGGTTTCAAGGCTGTGTTTGCTCCAGCCCCTCTTTGTGTCTCTGGAACTCTTACTGCTCTTCTGGTCTTCTCCAGAGAGGGTGGGCAGAAGAGGAAATGAAGCTCCATTCTGTTGATTGACAGTAAATTGTGGATGGACCAGAGAGGGACTGGGAGCTGGCTGGGCTGCACTCCATCCTGTCCCATTGAGCAGTCCCTTCAGTGGTATTCCTGCAGGCCTCTGTGCAGAGCAGAGGGCAAGGCAGGTGCCCAGGCCTCTGGGTGCTGCGCCTGCTGCCATTTCAGAAGAACAGCTCTGCTTTTATTTTATATATATATATATATATATATATATATATATATTAGGATTCTTGGTAAGATGTCCTTTGGAGGGGAAAAACAAAAGAGTCCATTGCTAAAAGAAAACAACAGTTTGAAAGCTGCTGTCCTAGATGATTTTTTATTGAACGTTGCAGTCAGCCTCTTCCCTCCCACAGCAGAGACGTGGCTGAGCTTGGCTCCCCCATCTCTCCACTCCTGTCTGGAGGAGGACACACTCTCCGCTCTCGACTAGCCTCAAGAATCAGGGTGGCTGAGCCCTGTGTGGGCCCTCCACATTGACAGCATCAGCTATCCCGAGCTCCATGGCTCAGAAGGTTGAGGTTCAGGCAGCAAGTAGGTGTTCTTAAGCAGACTAGTTCTCCCAGTGATGGGGGTGTCAGCTCTAACAGATGATGCACATTTGAAGGGGCGCATCAGCCAGGTGAGCTGCACGGGGGAGCTGATAGAAGCCACATTCTGTCTACCTGTTCTCTCCTATAGCCACCTAGCCTCCCAAGTGAGGCCCTTCGCCTGATCAAGGCCCAGACACGCCACCTGCGGCAAGCTGAGGCTACCAGTCAGCCATCCCCATTTCCCCGGTCCAAGCATGACACGAACCACCTTCATTCAGTAGCATTCCTTTCACATGGCACTTAGCTCTGTGGTGTAATCCTCGAGACAGGAACACCAGTGTGAGAAGCGGGGCCCATGTTCACTGGTGTGTAATCATAGAGTCCGGGCGCCCTGAGATGGCGTACTGAGCTAAATTATAGCAATTTAGCACACAGAGTTATTTAAATTGTTTGCCTGCCTTCTCTTTTGCATCACGGGTGTGTTAGACTTACCTCTTCCCATTAGGCACATGTAATTGCTCTCCTCAGGTGAAAACATAAATACCGTCATTACAGCGTAAGAGGAAAACCATGTAAATCCTGGGGAGCCAGCTGTGGACACTGCCTAGCCCTGCCTCGTGGCCTTTCCCTTTCAGGTGATCCAGACCCCAGAGCCGGTGGCCCCGACGGAGCAGGTGATCACGTTGGAGGAGACCCAGCTTGCTGGCTCACAGGTGTTCGTGACGTTGCCGGATTCACAGACAGCCCAGACCAGCTCTGAGCTCGTGGCCGTGACCGTGGAGGACTTGCTGGATGGGACCGTGACCCTGATCTGTGGGGAGGCCAAATGAGTGGCTGCTCATGGCGGGGGGGGTCCTGTGTGTGCAGTGGAGGAAAAGCTCCACACTTGCCTGTTGCCCTTCCTCCCTGGCACGGTATTGAGCATCTTAGCTTTGCACCAACTTAAGTGGTCTCCCTTGGGAAAGAGGCAGAAGCATGGCTGTTCTCATAAAACCAGCATCTGAGTCATTGGCAGCCAACACGACCGCCCCCCGTGGCCGGCAGGCCCGTTCCCCACAGGCCTCTTGCCGCAGCCTCTGTGACCCTGTCTACCCCCAAGCGGAGTGTGGCTTCTGAAACAGCCTGAAGGAGCAGTGGGGTAAGGGCCGGTGACCAGAGGGACAGGTGTGATGTGCCGGCAGCCCTCAGTGTGTGGAGTGGCAGCTCCAGGCGGGGCCGTGGCCTGCGGAGTGGGCCAGCACACACTGCCAGTGCCTTCTGGCCGTTGAGGAGGGAGAGAGCCACACCGTCAGACCATGCAGGAATCCCTTTCCTCAAGTCTGGCGTCCTCCCAGCCCCTGCACTGCGGCGGTAGGACCAGTAGCAGCATGCCCATCAGGAAGGCCTCGTTTCCAGGCCGAGGTCCACCCTGTCGGTTCCATCGGCCCTTCCCATGGCCGTGGGGGTGTCCGCTGTGAGGCCACGTAGCTGCAAACCAGGCCTGCCCTCCCGGAAACTCCTTGTGGTGGTTTGTACCGGAGGCTGGTTCCCACAGTGTTTCCGGGGTGTCCTTATCCCCTTTCCTTAATCAAAGCCTCATGCTTCCACCCAACCTGGAGGCCTTGGCCCCTGCCCCCTGGTGCACGTGGGACCAGGGGGTGTGGTACCCGCAGCCCCTGACTCCTCCCCCTGCCCCGTCTCCCCAGCCTTCCCAGCCACCACGGGGAGTGCTGGCCAGCGGGCCTCTGGAGTCTGAACTTCACAAAGCTTTTTTTTTTTTGTCTTCAGTTCCCAAAATATAATCTGATAATTAATGGTTTATGGAATCCATTATGAAGTGCAATTAGATGGATATAGGTTCCCGCCGTTCGGAGGGAATGGCTAGCATTTATCTTCCTTTCCTTGATGCCAGAAGGTTGACGTCTGCGAGGGCAGCGTGTCCACGCCTAGCACGGCTCCCTGCCAGCTTGTGCAGCTAAGCCCCTGTCTGATCCCTCACCCTCATGATACAGGCCGCCTGAAGACAAGGCCACCCCTTCCCTCTCAGCACATTTCACATCACCAGGCACCAGCAGGGGAGGGGGTCGATTCGAGTCACTGAGGTCAGTCCTTTTATCGCCATCACACTTTGCTGGACGGGCCACAGTATGGCCCTTACCACCAGCCCGCTCTCTGCAGGCAGCTCTGCAGCTCGCTCCCACCTCCAGCCGCGTGCTCATTTTCTGTGCAAATCGCTTGAGCTTGTCAGTTCAGGGATCTTCCCTTTAGGAAATAAATGAAGTTTTCAAAGGCCAGTGACTGACCAGAAGATGGTGCTCAAACCTTTAAGACTTGGCCTCCCTGTGAGGCCCTCGCTGCTTCTGCCAGGGCTGTCTCTATCTTCTTAAGGTTTCTCAGCCCCGTGAGCTGTCAGACCAGGACTGCTCTTGATCAGCAAATGACGAGGTGACACCGAAGCTCCACTTGGCACCAGATAAAACCCCACTGAAAGGACGGAGCTATCCAGCCCGCAGGGTGTGGAGGCCAAGCCCGGCAGATAAGAAGGCAGGAGTACTTGGGAATTGCAGGGTCATCAAAACTTCTTCCAGCCAAAAAAGGAAAAATTTAAAAATTAATGACTGAGGACCTGTAGGGGAAAGTGATTTTTTTTTTCTTTTTAAAAAAGTCTTCTGAATAAAAAAAGCTATAAACTTTCACCCCAACTTTCTGATCTTTTTCAAGTACCGAGACACCCTTCTCTCGGGTTTCGGACAGAGACCTGGATGGAGGCAGGACGCTCCTTCGCCTCAGAATCGCCGGACCTGCAGCTTGCTTTGCTGAGAGCAGGCGGGGAAGCGGGGCTTGCCGCCAGCTGCACTCTGAGCCCCGGCATAGCCAAGGGGAGCATGAGGCCTGTGTTGGTTCTGGTCGGCGCGAGGGGAAGGTCCACCCTGAGTCTCGTTTCTGCTCCAAGTGGACCTCTGCGAGATGCCACATCAACGGTGATTTTTACACCGTTGCTCCCTGGAGATCCCCAAGCGTGCATTCCACTGTAGGCAGACTTTTCTAGTTCTGTCTGCCCAAGAGACTCTGAACTGCTGCCAGGGGGGACGCTGTTACCCGGGTTGCTTTGTCCACGTCACTGGCTCTCATGTGGCACTCGTGGCCTTTGCTGCCATGTCATTGCCCCGACGGTCTCGGGGCTGAACCTTGGGGCACTGGCCATGGTACCCGAGAGTCTGTGGGCTTTCTTGGAACACTTGGATTTATTCGTGAGACCCCCGCCCACCCCTGCCCGCCCCCAGCCTCCTTCGCTGATGCCAGAGCTCGTGAAACGCCTGGTGAGGAGGAAAGGGCAGGCAGATTCCAGGCTGGAGTCTGATTCCATGGGAACAGTGGGGGTCTGTGATGGAAACGCATTTGCTCATCCCAGCTGAGTGAGGCAGCCAGACACTCAGGAGCAAGGACCGCCCTGGGAAGATGGGCCTGGGCGTGTGTGAACAGAGGCCGAAAGGGAGCGGGCAGAGGCAGCGGCCTGTACCTGTTTATTTTATAAGGCCTCTCTCTTCCGTCTCTGAAGCTGTGTGTTTGGGAAACGCTGAGCCCAGGAAGTACCACAGTCTCTGGTGTGAGAGCCGGGTTCCGCTGGTGGTTCAAGTCCCCTCTGAGGAAGCAGTCTGACTCGCCCACGCCAACCACGGGGTGTCCTCAGCTTCATCCCCCGGAAAGAGCCCCGAGAGTCGCGGGCTGAGGGCAAAGGAGACCCAGTCAGACACAGGCACACAGGGAGACGAGGAGCCCGCTCTCTGCCCGTGCTGTAACTTGCCCCAAGGAGAAAGATGGGACAGGCCCAGAGCTTCTCTATCCCAGGCGACGCTGCCGCCACCATAGGCTAACTACATATTAGTACTGGGGGCGGGGTGGGGCGGGGGGCGGTGTTTATATCTCACGTCCCTGAGATCTACGAATGGACCCAGGGTTGGAGGATCCGCCCGCCTTACACAGAATGGTTCCAGGAGACAAGCGGTATCTCTGAAATTGGGGTAGACAGTTGGGCAGCGGTGGAGAAAATCCTGGGGTGCTTTCGTCAGAGGATGGCTTGAGCAGCCTCTGCCCAGCTCCACTGGGCCCAGCGTTTTCCCGGGTTCTGGGGAGTCAGGGAGAAAGTGGGCACGAAAGAATGATCTGGGGTCTTGTGGCCATGGAAAACCTTGGGGCTGGTAGGACTTGGGCCCAAAGCTCAGCAGCACAGCCAGAAAGAAGTCAGAAAGTTGCTCCCCTCGGACTCGGCCTGGGGGGAAGGGAGAGGATGTTGTGCTTTGGGGATGACATTGTTGGAAGAAAGGAAAAAAAAATATATCCCCTGGGCCAATTTAGATTTCTTCCCAATCGGGAAATGTTTGATCACATCCCTAACAAAGACCAGCCACACTGGCTACCACCCGTGGTGAGGGCAGCTAGCCAGCACAGGGTGCTGTTGAAACTGGATTACAGACCATTAATTCGCATTCAACTTGAACTACTCTATAGAAATAAAATACGTACTTTGGAAAGAATTATGCTGTGTGAGTTTCAAATGGACTGTGATGATGCAGACCCGTGTTCTCTGTGGTTGTGGGCAGCTGTCAGATGGGAGCAGGCTGGACAGGCCTGCTTTCCCAGGGGCTCTTGACCCTGCGGACCGTGTGAGCACGGCCTGGGGACGGCCAGGACCCGCCTGTCCGGTGGAGTCTCCTTTTCCTGTCCCTCGCTCCCAGGGAGCAGGCATGGTGTCCGGGTTTCAGAGACCCGCCACGGCGCATCCCAGCACTGTTCACTTTATGCCTGTGACCTTGGTGAGATCCTTATCCTTTCTAAGCTCCCTCCTCCCAGCTCTCACTCATTCATAAATAGAGGAAATTATTGTATTTACCCCACAGAATTGTTCTAATTAAAAGCCTGGATTTAATGAACTTGGTGTTGAAAATTGTAGTTGTTATTAATAAGTCCTTCATATGCAGGTCAGCCGTTCCCTACATTTTCCAGTGCTGGGGAGAGCTTTCATTCCTGCCCCTCTACACGTCTCACCTCTTCCCCTCTCTCTCTGCATCCTTGGGGATCTTGAGAACACCCACCACTTTCCATTTATCTCTTGAACCTCAACTGCCCCCAAAGCGCAAAGTGCTGAGCAGATAACTGTGAAATAAGCAGAAACCTTTCATGGTGAACAGCTGAAAATGTCACGTTGCTGGCAGCCAACACGGAAACGAGAGGTAGCCACGCGGGCAGGATGTTCACAGTTTCCGCAGTGAGAGTCCTGCGGGGAAGGCAGGGGCATCATACCCCACACCCCCCTAAGCTCAGGTCCGCCCCGAGGCGGGGCTGGGGGTGGCTCTGCTCACATCTGGGACAGTCCTGACCCTTGCCCAGAGTCCACGAGGCCTCTAGGACGTAGGCCTTTCTGCCTGAGCAGTGTGTTTGGGGAGAGGGGCTGGAGCCATCGGTCGTGTCTGGAGCAGTGATCCTGGGCCCTGGCCGTGAAGGTGAGCGCATGCAGAGGTGAAGTGCTGCTCTGGGTCAGGAGTGGTTGAGCAGTGGGAGGAGAGTGGCCGGGCGATTCCCCGGCGGTGTGGTTATCTCCAGTCGGCCGGGGGTCGGCTGCTGGAAGCAGAGCCAAGGTGCAGCTTCCCAGCCCGCCTCCCATCTGACCGTGACCTCTGGCGAGTCATTCCTGACGACGGCTGTGAGGCGGAGTGTCAACATCTGTAAAACGCCCAACGTACGACTCCTGTTCCTGATTCTAGTACTTGAACCTGAGGGAAGACGGCAGAGAAGGCAGGAAATGCCCTAAGATGAGGGCCTGGAGCAGAGGGCAGGGGAGCCCCAGACCCAGACCCAGAAGGTCCCGTGGAGTTCCCCAGGCCGCACTATAAGCAATCCAGAGCCTCTGTCTCAGGCCGGGGTGGACAGCGATAAGAGGGGCACAGGACCTCCCAGGAAGGAGCCGGGATTCTCGGAGCTGCTTGGCCCCGCGGCCCTAGGGGTCCCGTCCGAGAAAGGGCACAGACTGGCGGTCTGGTGGGCACACATCCAGCGAGAGGGTGGGAAGCGGAAACACCAAGGATGCGGTGGTGTCCAGCCGTCCAGCCTTGCCTCTGAAGCTCTCAGATTCATTGTTCATCTTCCCTTCCACGAGCCAGTACTCAGGCACGCGTTTGGGTAAAAAAGAAGGAACTTAGGGCTCCACATGCCTTGTCCTAGACCTTTGTTGGGAAGCACTCCAGGACTCGGCTTCACTGAGAAGAGAGGATCTAGGACATGCTTGGGGGGGTTGGTGCGGGGGACGAGCTCAGCTTCTTGTGAATGCTCGCCAGGCCTTTCTTGTGCGTCTGTCCTGCCTTCTGCTCTGTCACCCGGTGCTACCAGAGTGTGGGTCCCGCGCCCACTGGACACTTGTATTTCCCACATGCCTGGCACCAGACGGCGAGCTTTGGGGGTTTGGCGGGTGCCCCTCCTGCCCAGCCAGGGACCCGCAGAGCTCCTCCAGTTGCCCTCACACCCTCGGGCAGGACTCACCTTCCGCCTCTCCCCATTGCTAGCGAGCGGGGCCCCCCAGTTACCCATGGGCGGGTCCATCAGGACATCCTCCTCTCTCTGTCCTCCGAGAAGAGCTGGGCAGAAGGCTGACAGCAGCTCGCCCAGCCCGGAGCTCCCCAGCTGCTCTGATCAAACACCACTCCTGCTGGCTCTGCGTGCACCAGTTCCCCCAGCGCAGGCCGGAAACAGCTGATCAAACACATCAGGACAAGGTCAGTCCAGGGACCCACAATACCCCTCCAGGAGAGATTTCACAGGCCTGCCATCAGGAGGGTCTGATAAAAACAGACAAGGGGTGGGGAAGCGGACCCATGGGGCTGACCCAGGACCAAACATCTTTTCACTCCATTTTGAAACCTCTGTGGTCCATGCAGGGTTCAGACCAAAGCCCACATTTCCAGACAGGCCAGAGCCAGAGCTGCCTCTGAGCCTAGGGAGCCAGGGGGACGCATGTGCACACAGGACTGTGGGGGTGAGAGAGATGTCAGGTAGGAGCGCGTGGGCTTGGGAGTATGGGGCTGTTAGATTGTCACAGGATGACTCCAGAGCCTCCCTTGCTAAACTGTGACCCTTTCAAGGGCAAGAACTGTGCATTATCCTTTCTGTTCACACACACACACACACACACACACACAAACAGGCTGGCACAGCAAGTGTCCTTTTGAGCTGAAGTTCTGGAGCCTGTGGGGTCCTATCATGTACATGGTCTCATGCCCGATGCTGTGGAGGTTGAGGGTAGATCAGGTTAATACAGCAAGGAGATCAAAACGGTCCATCCTAAAGGAAATTAATCCTGCATATTCATCGGAAGGACTGATGCTGAAGCTGAAGCTCCAATACTTGGGCCACCCGATGCGAAGAACCAGGACCCAGACCTTGATGCTGGGAAAGATTGAGGGCAGGAGGAGAACGGGGGATGGCAGAGGATGAGATGGTTAAATAACATCACTGACTCAGTGGACCGTGAGTTTGAGCAAACTCCAGGGGATAGTGAAGGACAGGGAGCCTGGCGTGCTGCAGTCCGTGAGGTCTCAAAGAGTCAGACACGACTTAGTCAACACGACTGGACAACAGCAACAACAGGCTAAGACAGTGTGTGATGCCTGCTCCGATGGGACTGCTAACCTGGCTGGCCAGGCAAGGACTGCGGATGAGACATAAGTACCAAGAACCCCATGCCAGTGCAGATGCGCAACCTAAACACCTAAACACCTGTAAACGCTGTGTTCCTTTCTCTCTCTCTCTTTTTTAGTTTTGTCTTTTTCACTGGTGGGGGTGATTAATATTTTCAAGAAATGCTCTCATAATTAATAATTAGTGTTATTAAGTGCTTAGCACATGTTGTACTCTGGATGAAGAGCTTTATGTAATTTTTATTTCACCGGCACCATGATATAGGTGCTGTTGTTACCCCACATTTCAGGTGAGGAAACCCGCTCAGGAAAGCCACTTGATGGGTACATGGCCAGTGAGCAGCTCAGCTGGGATGTGATCCAGGCTGCCTGACTCCAGACCTCGATCTTTTTTTTTTAATTTTGTGCTGGGGTATAGCCGATTAACAATGTTGTGATAGGTCAGGTGGGCAGCGAAGGGACTCAGCCATACATATACATGTGTCCATTCTCTCCCAAACCCTGCTCCCACCCAGGCTGCCCGGAGTTCACTCTTTAACACCAGGCTACATCCAGGCATTTCTTGCTTGATACCCAGTTAGCCAGAAGATACCTGGGCAGCCAACTTCTCAGTCCTTGGGCCACTGGTCAGGGCCACCTGGACGGTCGTAGACCTACCGCATCCCCTGACCTGCTTCCTCCTTGACCTCCCCCTCCGTCTCTCCTGCCTGAGACAGCCAACCAGGCCAGAAACTGCTTATATCAGCTGGAAATGTGTCCGGTAGCAATAGGAGTCACGCCCTTTGCCTTGTTTTGGGACTAGATCATTTGTGGTCTAAGAACTGTCACTTGGAGGGGCCCCTGCTGCCTCTCACAGGGTCACCAGCTCACTGGGCCCTTGATGGCCCGTCCAGGGCTCTTCCTTCAAATCAGAGGACCGTCCAGGTGCTGTCTGAGCTCCCACTGAGCCCAGCTTGGGGTCGGGCACGAGTGTGTGAGGGTGCTTCTCCCCCAGGCAGCTCAGGGAAGCATCACAGCCTCTCTGCCTTCCCCATCTCTACTCTTATCCTGGGATCCTGAAGGAAGCAGTGTTTCCTAGAACAGCAGTGCTTTTTTTGGAGGACACAGGATCAGGAGACAATAGAGCATGCAGCAGTTCAGAGGCCGCTGTAGAGTTACTCAGATCCGAGTTCAGATCCCTACCTGGTCCCCTGTTAGGTGTGTGCTTTGGGCATGTTTGCGTGTCTTTACCTGATTGTTTTTCTTCTCTATAAACTGGAGGTAATGAAAATCTCAGGGTAATTGTGGAGATTAAAAGGAACACCTGTGAAATTCAGATGTTGCTAGTGGTAACGAACCCACATGCCAATGCAGGAGACCTCAGAGACACCGGTTCGATCCCTGAATTTGATACGATCCCCTGGAGGAGGGCGTGGCAATCCACTCCAGTATTCTTGCCTGGAGAATCCCAGGGACAGAGGAGCCTGATGGGCTCCAGTCCACAGGGTTGCAAAGAGGCAGTCATGACTGGAGCGGCTTTGCGTGCACGCATAGGTCATGGTATGTAGGAAGTGCTCCATAAAAATGACCCCATTCATCAAGGGACCCAAAGCCCCGGGCAGGCCTTGCCCCAGTGCGGAGATCCCACTGGCTGCTTCCAAAGCTCAAGTAGGGTAGACTTCTGTGGGGGAGTGGAAGGTGAAAAAGAGGGCCAGCCGGACAGAGTCCCCGGAGGGTAGGGCCCGGCCTTGGTGTCTCTCCGTTCCCCCGTTTCCTTGATGTCTGGCATCCAGGGAGCACCTGCTGTAAGACTGGCGAGCGGCAAGCCCAGGCCTGGGGTCCGGATGCCGGGAACTGTGTTTCTGATGCTGCTCCCTGCTGCACCCCGGGGCCACCTGGAGCAAGATTCTACAGCCCAAGGGGCGGTCGCAGGGGAAAGCAGACGTCCTGGATAGAACCTGGCCTGTGGCCCCAGTGGGCTCGC